GTTTGCTGCTTTGTCACCTGAAGCAAGGGAGCTTTGGAACATTACAAGACGGTTAAAACGACGCAGGAGGATACAATGAAACCAATGACAATAGGACAGGAGAATATATGTTACAAGACATGCTCATGCTATATTGATAAAATTTATTCATACTTTAAATAATTTTTCGTACTCAGATACATGTTAATGGTGGATACATTTCTCTACTAGGGGTGTCCAACCATTTGGTGTCTCTGGGCCACACTGGAAGAAGAAGAGTTGCTCTGGGCCACACATTAAATACATTGTGACATGCAATCACACAAAAAAAAATCTCATGATGGTTTAAGTAAATTTACGACTTTGTAGGGGGCTGTATTCACAGACATCCTGGGCTGCATGTGGCCCGCAGGCCGCGGGTTGGATGCCCCCAAAACCCACAGGATGCACAATACTGAGGGTGAACCCTGGTGTCACCTGTGGACTCTGGGTGGTAACAATGTATCAGTGTAGTTTCATCACAAGTTCCACGCTGGTAGCAGTGTTGATAATGGGGGAGGCTGTGCATGTGTGGGGGAGGGGGAAAGTGGGAAATCTCTGCACCTTTTTCTTAATTTTTCGGTGAACCTAAAACTGCTCTAAAAACTAAAATCTATTACATTTACAAAGCCGATTGCAAGACAAGGCCTATATCTGTTGTAGACTGGGCGAGCAATACTGGTTGCCGCTCTCTGGGGTGGGTGGCCGCCTGGCCCAGGCTCCTCGGGAAAGGACATGTGGGTGCTCTCTGCATTTCCTACAGTTGACAGCTTCACCAGAGCCCTGGAGGGGGGGGTCCTCTGTGTTACAGAGAAGGGAGCGCACAAGCCTGGAGCTGCTGCAGCCATCTTGTCACCAGGAGGCGAGAGGAGGCAAAGCTGAAGAAAGCAGAAGTGATGCAGAGAAAGTGAAAGTGAGGAAGAGAGACTGGGTGATGGGGTTTGAGTCTTTGGCTTCACGCTCGTTTGTTCCTGGGCTTTTCTGATAATCAAGTCCTCCCTTGTCAGATTAACCTGGCTGCCTGGAGAACAAGCAGAGCCGACTAAAGGCTTGGGGACAGGGACCAGGGCCAGGGGCAGGGAGGGAGCCCCCTGATGCTCAGGGGCGGAGCACAGACAGCATCGGACGACCAAGGCCACGCGCCAGAAGCTTCCTTTCAGTGTGTTCCAGTCCTTCTGAGAAAATCAAAGAGAAGGCTCAGCGTGGTGATACCTGGTCCCTGTCACTGGTCTCTGTCTCTCTTTTAATGAGGCCTCTGGCAGCCTCAGACTCAAGCCTGGCTCTGACAAAGGCCTGTGAGGTGCTGCTGTGTTTATTATTATGGCTGCCTTCTGATCGGGGCAAGTGATTCTGACTTTGCTATTGGGGTAGTCACGCGAAGTTTCCACAAGACAAAGAGGGCTGCCAGGAGGATGTGGCCAGGGGCTGACGGAGCCGGCGGTGGCGTTGGTGGCCGGGAGCCGGGAGTGTGACTGAGCTGGAGGGAGGGTTCCGGAAGGTGACCCTTTGTAGTTGTTGCAGGCGGGACGGGAGGTGTCTGGAGGAGCGTTGGAAGGGCCCGCTGGGGACAGTGGGGGCAGGTGCGATTGGAGCCGGTTTGGCTGCCCTCCGCGGCGTCGCAGAGCCGGAGCCCACCCTGAGGTGACCGTCCTGGCCAGCAGGCCACGCACCTCTGCCCCGGCGCCAGCGCTGACCCTGCGCCCCAGGTCTGGCCGAGCCCCTGGAGTTCCGGCCCAGGATTACTGCATCCTCTCGCTCGAGCTCTGTGGACACCCCAGCTCTGGCCCCGGGGCTGCCTTGTCTCACTGTGTGGCCTTGAGTGGGTCCCCTTCCCAAGCCTCAGTTTCCCCACCTGGAAACAGACATGAGTGAAATGACCTGAAAGGGCGCTGCCAGGTGAGAGGACCAGGGACGCCCCCAGCCCCCTCCTCCGTGCCCCCGGTGTGTGGTGACTCAGGCCTGGGCCGAATTGCCTGCTCCAGCTGCTGTTGGCCGTGTGACCTTGGGCAAGTCGCCTGATCTCTCGTGGTGTCTGTGTCCCGTCTGTCAATGGGATGAGGACATCTCTCGAGCAGAGCTGGACGGGCAGCGGCGAGGGGAGCCCAGACACTCAGCGGGGCTCCAGCAGTGCTGGGCGGCTCTGGTTCTCAGCGCAGGGGCAGGCTGTGTCTCCACCTTTGCCTGCCAGCATCCCAGGCACAGGTCTCACAGGGCATCCCATGGGGGGTGGGGGCGCGGCACAGGGCAGGAAGGGGAGGCTTCTGGAGCAAGCTGTTATCTGACGGAGCCCCCAGCCTCCGGGGAGTGTGCCCAGAGCAGTGGGCGAGCTGGCCTGCTGTTCCCCGCTGCAGCTCCGGGGCCCTGCACTGGGAGGTGGGCGGGAGGGGCCGAGGCCCAGGGAGAAGGCTCAGGGGAGGAACTGGCCAGCGGACTGCCCAGGCCTTGGGGACGGGGCGCGTCTCCAGCTCCAGCCCGCGCAGACAGGAGCCCCTTGTGGAGAAGGGCCCTGTGAGCCTGCAGGTTCTGATTCAGCAGGTCGGGGTGGGGCCTGGAACTCAGCCTTTCTAACCAGCTCCAGGAGGTGGTTGTGGCGGGTTGGCCGTGGGGGAAGCTTCCTGGGGGAGGGGCCTTGAGGAGAAGAAGGACTTGTTCCGGACCCAAGAAGCGAGTGGGCCTCCGGCTTCTGCAGCTAAAGGGAGACGCCAGGAGGAGGCGCTGTCATGCGCCGTCACAGGCCCTCAGACGCCCCAGAACGGATGCAGGCGGACGCTGTGTGGCCAGAAGCACCGTGACCGACAGGCCACGGCTGTCAAGGGCCTGGGAGCGCAGCCCCGAGTGTCGGCAGGAAGGGGCACGGTGGGCCCCTGAAACTGCCCTTGGTGTTCCCCACACACAAAGCGGGGAGCCCGCCCTCCCTTAGGGATCCTGATGGGGAGCACCTCTTACCTCAGGGAGGTTTATAAAAAATTACCTTTCCCTACCACACAATACACAGTATACGTGCGGTTTTGGGGTGCCCATTACCCCCACATTTGATATCTCTGTCCTCAGCGGCACCCCCGCTTAGGCCAGCCCGGCTGAGGGGGCTTCACGCAGAGAGTCAGCTTTCATGGCGCAGGCAGCCGGCACCCCGCCAGCTGAGACCCCCTTGCCATGACCTCTCTGTGGCAGTATTTTGGCCACGCTGTGTGCCTTCAGATCCCAGACCTCGCAGTTCAAATTCTAGAAGATTCCCCACCCTCCACCCAGTGCCCAGCTACACTCCCGGGCTTCCTTGTTGTCCCTGTGCACCCAGCACGTTGATTGCACCGGGGCACTTGCCTCCGGGGCTGGCTCTTTGCTCGCCCAGTTTGCTGCCCGAATCTCCTATTAAACTCCTCCCTCCACTGCAGTTGGGCATTTTTCTCTTTCTTAGTGAATATTGGGTGCGTCTCATAGTTGACAGCATCGCATATGTGATGAAATAATTGTGGAATCAGTGCGGTTCACCATAACAGAGTTGCAGGGGCTTTTGTTTCTGCACCTAACGCTTTAATTTTCCAGAAGCCCAGTATTTCCCCACCCAGAGTGTCCTTCTGGCTCTGGAGAGATGGAGAGACTTGAAGCTTCCTTTGTGCCAAAGTATCAGCATGTTTCTAACCTCCTGGACAGAGCCGGGTGGGGCCCTGCAGGTGTTGCCCCACGGTGGCGCTGTTGAACACCTTCTGGTGCAGCTGTGTGAATGCTTGCCCACAGCTAGCTTCCTGCACAGGCCAGCATGGCCTTCCACACTAAGGTTCCTAAGTCACAGCCTCTGTAGTTCCCCCTGCTAAGCTCAGGCAGACGGTTTAGGGCCTCGGGAACTTCCAGCCTCAAGCACAAACAGGGTCCAAACCAGCCTGTACCATCCGTGTCAGCTCCAGTGTTGAACCCAGGCCACGGGTCCAGACTCCTCTTCACTTTGAGGCCCTTGGTGGCCTCTCCTGACGGCGGACTTCAGTCAGGGTCACCCCGATGCATCAGGGAGCTTCCCAGAACGTGGTGCCTAGAATGGGGAGGTGTTGAGCATGCAGGCTCTTTTCTACAAGGCCCCGCCTCCCTTTGGGACTATGATCTCATAACCCAGGGAGGCCATTCAAGGGACAGTGGCTTTATTAAAAAAACCCACTCCTATGCAATGAGTTATATCTTCCTAACCAGGGGAGGTTAGCAACTGCCCTGGTTAAAAATGCCTTATGAGCCCGACTGGTATGGCTTAGTTGCTTGGTGTTGACCCACAGAGTGAAAGGTCTCCAGTTCGATCCCCAGTCAGGGCACATGTCTGGGTTTTGGGTTTGGTCCCCAGTTGGGGCACGTGTGAGAGGCAACTGATTGATGTTTCTCTCTCACATCAATGTTTTTCTCTCTCCCTTCCCCCCTCTCTCTAAAAAAAATAAAGTGACTATGACATGATTGGTTCTACCCTTCACAAGATGACAGACACCCCACCCCAGGCCCCAGCTGGCCTCGGGGAGCAGGAGGTGACCTTTTGTTTGGTGAGTTGGGTCTACACGCTCAGAGAGAGGACCAGAATGCTTAGGATAATGCTTAGTAACATTTGCTATTTGCTTAGGTAGAAAATTCAAGGCGGAAGGAGCAGACAGAAAGACCCAGGAGGCTTCTGAGAAGAAACGGGTTACACCGTGTCCCCAGGGTGCGTTGGAAACCTCCGCTCCAGCTGCCTGCAGGAACATTGGTGAGATGAGCCTCCCCTCTCCCGTCCCAGCAGCTGGGTTGCAGGTTTTGATGTAAATCGAGCCTGACGTCCCAGGGACACAGGACACAAAGAGAGGCTTCCAAGGATGTCCCAGGAGAACCTCAGTTCAACACAGATGGGGAAGTGGAGAACCATCGGAGGGGCTCGCCCAAGGCCACCCAGCAAGGCAGAGCCCCACGGGGCCCATCATGGCTGTTCCCAATCAAAAGGCCCCCCAGACAGCCGGCAGAGCAGCGCTGACCCCAGATCTGAAGCTGGCCTTGCCAAAGCCGCGCATCACAGGTACTCCCGCACAGCCAGTTCCTTCAGGGTGAAGCCGCGGGTGGTGGGCCTCCGCAGCTGGCTGGCCTCCAGCCTCTCCTGCAGTGACAGGAAGTCCTTGCCCAGCGCGTAGGCCAGGCGCATCATGGCGTCCAGCAGCGGGGCATAGTAGCGGTGCCCCTCCCGCGCCTGCAGGCGCTCCAGGGCCTGCTCGCCGGCCGCGAAGGCCTCCAGGGGCCGCTCGAGCTCCCGGTGGCACACCAGCATGGCGCAGAGCGCCGGCACCAGGGCCAGGGGGCAGTGGCCCGTCAGCTTCTGCTGCAGGGGCACCATGTGCACCAGGATGTCCAAGGCCTTGGTGTACTGCCCGGCCCGCAGGCAGCCAAAGGCCTCCTTCAGCTCGGGCCGCGTCAGGAAGTCGATGAACTCGCGGGACCTGCGCACGCAGCGGATGGAGTAGAGCAGGCTCAGGTACTCCTTGAAGGCCAGCTTGCGCTCCAAGATCATCTCCTGCTTGAAGTTGCCCACCAGGTGCTTCTTGGGGAAGGGGACGTCTTCGATCTCCTCCCTGAACGTCTTGAGGAGGTTTTTCTGCAGCGCCTGGAAGTCTGAATAGCGCCGCTCCAGGATGGCTTTGTTGCTGTCGAAGCTCCCCGTCTGGATGACGACGATTTGGTACACCTGCGGGGCGAAAAGAGACGGGCTTGGAGGACATCCTGGCGGAGGGCTCGCGTTGACTGGGCAAGCCTGGCAAAGTAAATTGTAGAAGAAGGGTCGTTCTACATGGCTCCTCTCTGTTAAATTGCCATTGGGATCAGCTGAGTGGGTACAAGTGGCTCATGACAAGGGTCAAGCCAAGAATAACAAGGGAGGCATCCGGGCGGGGGGAGGGGAGAAAGAGCACCGGCGCGGGCCAGGCAGGGGGTGGGGGCGGTCTGCACGGGGCCTGGGGTCCCTGGAGAGGAAGCTTGGGTTTGGCCTCCATTCCCCAAGGGCTCCGCGCTCGGAGATGGTTGTAGCTGCTACGCTGGCAGTGAGGCCATGTAGTGAGAAAACTGTTCCTTTTCAGTTCTCTTCCAGGAGGGTCTGGCGACGGGTGCAGGCCCCACCTGGGCCTGGCCTCGCTGTGAGGCCTTAGGTGGCTAATGGAGCCCCGCGGGGCCTGGCTCAGGCGAGGGTTCCATGAGCTGAGGCAGCGACACCAGTCGGCCGCCAGCCCAGCGCAGTGCCAGCTATTGTTGCAACTCCGGCCCCAGAAAGGTGGAGCGTGGCTCCTCCGAAGTCAGCGGCACCTCCCCCAGCCCAGGCTGACACCCCTGTTTCACCAGGAGAGCAGCCCCAAGCGCAGAGCTTTCCCTGCGCTTTCACCGTCACCTTGTCTTGGTGCCTCGCAATCATGGCTTTCCCTTTAAGGTCGTTTTCTTAGAAATAAATCTATTCAGTGTTTGTTTTTTTTAAAGTGATCCAATTTAAGGGAAAAAATTAGGTCAATAATAATATAAACGGCACGGGGATACGGTAAAAACGGCGACGGGACGCGGGCGGCCTGGGATCAGTGGCCAGCTCTGCGTTAGGATCGGGGTCGGGACCCAGACACCTCCCCTCCGCCCCCCCCCATGGCACCTGGCACAGCGCTGAGCACGGCACCTGCTTTTCCACTGTTTTCCCCAGAGGAACTCTGCAAGTTCAAGTGTGTGAACCCGGTCCCTGGCCGGGGAGGCCGAGGCACCACAGGACTTGCTTGGGGCGGGGTGGGGGGTCGGGGGGCAGTGCTTACCACAAACTTGCAGACCTTTCTCTCCTCGATGCGGGCGGAGGCGACCTCGAAGAGCAGCTTGACGGGCTTCCAGCAGCCCTTCTCGTTCCTCCAGTGCTCCTGCAGCTCCCGCGTGGTCATGCTGGAGTTGGGGTTCGGGCCGCCGTCGGCGTCTGCCGGAACAGCACCCGTGAGGCCTGGTACCAGGTCAGCGCGCTTGGGGCCAGGGGCCTGGGGAGACGGCTGGGTCTGTCTGGGGCGGGACATCGGATTCCCAGAAGAGCTGTGACTCCTCCCCCCAACCTCATCCTACCAAGGGCAGGTCATGCTGGGCATCAGCCCGACCCTGTGCCCTGCCACAGGCAACCTGAACTAGCCTATCTTCCCCAGGTGCTTTCGCTGTGAGGTGCGGAGTATGATGCATCGTGTGCACTTCCGGCTTGCAGGTCGGCCACCGTGGAGCCCCAGGCCAGGACGCTGGCTTGCTCTTCTCTGCTCTGCCTGCCACGCTGACTCCCGGTGGTTGGTGGTCGCCGGCCTCCTGAGCAGGGGTCATCGGGTTCGGGGGGGGAGGAGCTACGAGGAGGTTGGGCTCTGGGCTCAGCCTGGCGGGACCCCCGCAGCCATCTCCCCTCATTGTCCGCACACTGTGCTTTTCCTTGCGCCCGCCACCCCTTCTGCCCCCAGGGCCACCGTCCTCTTCCCTGCCTCAAAAACTGACACCGTCTGTGTTCCTTAAGCCTTGCATGAGCCCTGGGCTACTCTGAACCTTGGCAGAGAAGAGAGTCCTCGTTCACCAAAAATGCACAAATCATCGTGCATCTTCTTTCAGGGGATATAGGTCTGAGGGGACCTTCTCCCATGTGACTTTCGAGGCCCAGCCCTCACGTCACCTCATGGCATTAGAGTGAGAGCCGCCCACCTGGGCCCTCTAGCCTTTCCTGTGGCATCTCAAATGGTCTTTCACAGCCCTGTTTCCCGACTAAACTTGTGGGCCAGCACGGTGTTTGGGATCCCTTGCCCAGCGCCAGGGATCGAGCAAGGCCCTTCTGTGGGCGCTTGGCCAACCGCGGCACGGGTGTCGGCGACGGAGCAGAGGCCGTCTCCGCGGGAGGGCGCGATAGCCCACGCCTGGCGCTCACTGTTCAGGACCCTCCACGGGTGTCCGAGGACGCCTGCCCCGAGGGCTTTGTGGCAGCGTGTTGCGGGGAATCCCTCAGCCATGCAGGGTGGGATCGGTGGGTCAGAGCCTGGCTCCTGGCTTGTCAGAGAGGGTTATCCTGAGGGATGCTCCACATCAGCTCCTCCCAGGGAGCCCCAGCTGCCCAGTGATCTGTTCACTGAGCCCCCGTGTGGTTCCCTGCCCGTCCCTCCTTCCCCCACTGCCCTGCTCTTCCCACGGGGACCGTTGGCAGGTAAGCCACTCCCACGGGATCCCTGCCCCAGCGCCTACTGCGGGATGGCCCACGCTCAGAGAGCTGCCCTGCCGTCCTGCGGCATCTGCTGAAGGGCCCGCGTGTGCGCTTCAGGGGTCTCCATGCCTCTGCTCCCCTGAGCACCCCATGCCTTGAACCCACCTGAGTCCCCATCAGGTGCTGGAGGTGGGAGGGCTGGGCCACTGTCTGTCGCTTCCTGCCTGGCCCCCGGCCAGCTCTGGGCTATGCGTCCCGTCCATCTGGGGCTCCCAGGGTGCTCGCTGCTCGCCATGCTCAAGGCTGCCAGGGGGACAAGAGAGAGCCGTGAGTGCCCACTCGTGGTGGGGTTCCCGGTGGGTCCTGGGATGCTCAGGACCCGTGTCAGAGTCCCCACGGCGGAGCCCTCCCCTGCCCACCTAGCTGTCCGCCCAACCGCCGGATGCGAAACGGGGGTCTGGCCCTTCGCTAGACCAATCGGTCCAAGGCTGAGCAGATCCTCCCTTCTTGTTAAGATCCTGATATTATCAAGTTGCTGTGAATTTTAAGTGAAGTGACTTCAAGCAAACGTAACGGCTTTAGTGACGAGTTGGAAGAAAGACACTGGCTTGTCCAGAAAAATGTCCCAATATCTCATTCGCTGTGACATTTGTGAATGAACTGTCAGCGTCCAGGGGAGAGACACTGGCATCTATCTTTCCCATCCCTCCCTTTATCATTAAGCAAACATTTACTGACACCTTCTTATACTCACTTCAAAGTCCCCCAGGTCCTTCACAGCCACCTCCTATTTAATAACCACAACAATCTCTCGTGACTCCTGAGAACAGGTGAGGTTTAGCCCACGGTTGCATGGCCGGTGAAGATGCCCAGTGAGCGAAGGCTGGCGCACTGGTGACATGCCAGCCTGTGCCCTCTCTGGGCAACACCCGCTCTCTCACTTGGTCGGAATCCCTGTGAGGTAGGAGTTTTGAATCTATTTGTTTGTTTGTTTTACAGTTTGAAAGTTTTACGTGTAGGATTAGCCAGCTGGACTCCGTTTAGATCATCCCAGTTTTGTTGGCAGCATCCAAAGCGCCCTCGTTGGGAGCTGGTCGTACATGGGCCTTCCTCTCCCCATCAGGCCCAATCGGGTGTGGGCCTGGCCACATCAGGGTCACAGAGCTTCTTCCCAGCCTGTGTGACCCGGCGCCCTTTGGCCTTGACCTCCACAGTACACACAGCTGCATTGTTGTCTTCCGCCCTCTCCACGGCCGCCCTGGTGGTCGGGGGAGCTTGGTGATGGCGTAGAGGTCAAGCTCGTTTCTCCTGGGGTCGCCCCTGGGGGTGTTTAATCTGCCTGCAGAGGCGCCGCATCTTGAGCTGTTGGAAGGTATGTGACGTGTGGACCTTCTTCTTCTTCTCTTTTTGCAGCCATGGGCACTTTTCAATTTGCTTTCAAAGTCTTTGCTTTGACTTCGGCTTTGGGAGGGGGCAGGGGCTTCCTTCTTCACTTTGGGCGTCATCTTCGCGAAAATGTTGAATCCCCATTTTATGATAAAGGAACTGAGACTTCGAGGTGCCCGCAATCGGGAGCTTGTGGGTGGCGGGCAGGACACCAACGCGGGCTGGCCTGGCGCCGGTGTCCTCCCCACCCGGCTCAGGGGAGGGCAGGCAGCGGGGGCCCCGGGGTCAGTTCACCAGGGGCTGTCTGCCATCCTGACGGCGAACGAGAGGAGCCGGTGCCCGGCGAGTTCCTCCACGTCTCTGTGCCTCAGTTTCCTATCGAGGGGACCGACTAAAAGAACCCCCCTCCCGGAGGCTGGAGTCCATGCAAAGCAAGCGTCACCTCAGAGCCCCTCCCACCTGGCACTGTCCTTGTCTCCTCTGTTATCTGACCTGTGATAGGTGCTTCAAGAAATAATTGAGGCATAAATGACTCTAAATCAAGGTATATGTTGGAATAGAGTTTTAAACATCGGAGGCAAGTCAGAAAAAGGGACAGCTAAAGCGTTAGCAGAAATTCAAAATAAGAAGGGTGCCGGGGACCGGACCGCCTTTTTTACTGGACCCAAGGGGTCCACAGGCGGATCAGGGGCTGGAGCTGGGACTTGAACTCCAGTCTTCAGGTTCCAGGCCTGCGCCTGCACCCTTGCACTGCCTCTGGCCTAGACAGAGGCGGGACATGCTGCTGGAACCGTCCCTGCTCTGTCCCTGAGCGTAGCCAGAGCCCGTCCCCAGCCCTGGGGTGAGGGCCTCTTGGAGCCGGCCTGGCCTAGGGGGAGGTGAGGTCGGCGCGGGCCGGGGGCCTGCGTTCCCAGGGGCAGCTCTCTCTGTGTCAGGTGAAAGGAGTCCTGGGCCACCCCTCTCACCCCCGGGTGGCTCTGGGCAGTTGTCCAGTGAGTCAGGGACCCTCCATCCAGCTTCCCCTCATACAGATGGAAAACGGAGGCGCAGAGCAAAGTGTGGCTTGCGTACCTCATTTAGCTCTCCTCTCCCCTCCGGGCGTCAGGCCTCCGTCCCGGCCAACGGTGACCCCCCAGGCAAGTTATTGCGTGTCTCGGCCTTGATTTCTCCGCTGAGCAGTCTGTGCCGCTGACAGACGATGGGGGGTGAGGGGCGGGCTCCCCAGATTCGGGTAGGTGCCCAGCCACGACAGCCAGCGCTCCGCACACTCTCTTATCTGACGGCCTCCTGGAGGCTGGGATCCTTGGGGCCCAGTGTCCCGTGGGCTCTCCTAGGCGCCTGCCGCAGTTAGTGTGTCTGTGAAATGGCTGATGGTGACCTATTCCCCAGGTTCAGGAGGGGCCGTAAAGGTGCTGGCCCCTTCAGAAGGTGCCGATGCCGCGGAAGGTTGAGGAGCTGCTCCCTGCTCTGCCCCGCGGCGCTAAGGAAAGCCCCACGTAGGGACGCTGCCACCAACCCTTCTCCGTCCCGCCCTTCCCCCCGCAGGTACAGAGAGGTGGGCCCCAGAAGGGCGGGCCCAGGCCACAGGAGGCCCACTAAGCTTGGGGTCAACACTGACCTCTGACCTGAGGCTTCTGCTCTGTGGGTGTCCAGGGGTCCGGTACGCATGTCATATGGCCCCCTTCGGCTCTCCAGCCCAGCTCCGGGGGGAGAAGCCGAGTGGCTGTGGCGTCCCTAAGTTCCCCATTTGAAAACAGGAAATAGGGTATGCGAACTGCTCCGGGTCGCCCCAGCCCATTGGCTGGCAAAAGACGGTGTAGTGAGCCCAACGGGCAGGCAGTCCTGAGGGTTCAAGCTGGGACTCACGTCCCATAGCCTTGCTGTGGCCCGGCTGTCCCCCCGAGTCCTGGACGATCCCTGGCATTCAGACCTCAGCTCCCAGACCTCTTCAGTGTTTACTGTCCTCCTATAAGCTCAGCATAATGGGGGTCCTCAGGCCCTATTAACAGGTGGGGAGACTGAGGCTAGGAGCACAGAGCTGGCAGGGCCAGAGCCATTGCAGGGTGTGGAAAGGAGATGGGATAGACCCACAGTCCCATTGGGTGCCTTTCCCTGGGCAAACCTGCTTCCCACGCTCCCGACAGAAAGAACCAGGGAAGCCCAACCTCGGGGAAGTGACATGGTGCACGGCCGCTGGTGTTGTGGCCTTGAGGACAGGAGGTGGGGACAAGATAAAAAATAGAAGCTTGGAGGTCCCCTCTGTGTCTTCCAGCTCTGATTCTGTCCCCCGCTGCCATTAGAAGCCGTTGCTTTTCCTAGTAAACCAACCACCTGTAGACAGACCCCAAGACAACAGAGTCCCATTTTACTCATTTTCTGAATTTTCTATAAATTGAACCATTCATAGTCCTTGTATGCTTTTGTGTCTTCTTTCTTTCCTTCAACATTTACTGGAATAAGATTCATCAGTTTTAGTGTGTAGCTGGTTTCTCCATTTTTATTGTTGTATTGCTCCATTTTTAAACGCATGATTATTTATCTCTCTCTTTTTTTTTTTTTTGGTCTGTGGGTGCCCATTCAGGTCATCCTGTCCTGAGTGACGCTGCTGGGAATGTTCTTACGCCCGCGTGCGAGGGCCCACGTCCCTCTGAGGCACAGTGGCTGGCTGCACCTGTACTAGCCTGTGTCACGCCGCTCCCTGGAGTGGCGGCGTCTGTCTGCATCCCCACCCACTGTGCGTGAGAGGCCCAGGAGCTCCCTGTCCCCGCCGACGCTCGATGTGCTCCGTATCTTTCCTTTCAGCCACTCTCACGGGCGTGCGGCGGTAGCTCCTCGCGGTTCTGAGTTGCATCCCCACCTGACTAATGAGGCTGAGTGTCTCTTCATGGGCCCATTGCCACCTCTATACCCTCTTTGGTGAGACATCTGGTCAAGGTGCTCATTTTTGATCGGACTATTTGCCTTCTGGATGGTAGGCCTTCTTTATGTCTCTCTGGGGTGTGCGGCTTCTCAGTCTTCTCCACCATCCTGTGGTTGGCCTTTGGAGTCTCTTCATGGGGTATTTTGAGGAGTAGAAGTTGCCAAATTTAGAGTGTTCAACCATATCAATCTTTTTTTTCAACATGGGTGTTATACTTTGAGGTCCTAGAGATTCCTTCTTTCTTATTACTGTATTCTGACATGTATAATACGCACTAGATTGCTTGAGTTTTGGAGGAAAAGTACAGATGCGCATTATACATGGGTAGTACTAATTCCATATCTATCTAAATGTTCTTAATTCTTTTATTTATGCTTATGAGTTAAAAGTGTAACCCTCGAAAGCAATAACAATATCCGTATGTAAAAATAATACCCTGGAATACGATGATCGGTTTTGTTTCTAAATATAAATAAATAAAATATTGAATTAAAAAATTAAAACAAAAGATTTCTTTTTCCTCCTGAAAGTTTGGGCCAAAATAAAATATTGAATTAAAAAATTAAAACAAAAGATTTCTTTTTCCTCCTGAAAGTTTGGGCCAAAAGTGTGGGTGCACATTATACACGGCAAAATACGGATATTTCTGCAACAAAATATGGGTATTTCTGCAACAATGTCAGACAGGCTATCGTGAAGCTTGGGATGAGCTAAGATGTGCCAAGCACTTACAACAGCGTAAGGACAGAGCGAGCTCTGGGGAGAGGTGGCAACCCTGGTAATTCCAAAAACCTTTCCAGTTTACCTGTCTCATGTAGTGCAGAGTTTTGTGTATGGCGTGAGGTAAAAGGTGCAATATTCATTCCCCCATGTTTACCTATGGCCTTGCTTGCCGAAATGGCCGGGACGCTGGCAGCGCCGCCGCGGTTATACAGAGTACCTGGCACTGGCTGGTGTGGCTCCGGGGGTTGGGCGTTGTGACACAAAGCGAAAGGTCGCAGGTTCTACCCCTGGTCAGGGCACAGGCCGGGGTTGTGTGTTCAGTGTCCGGCTGGGGCACATACAAGAGGCAACTGATTGATGTTTCTCTCTCACATCGGTGTTTCTCTCTCTCTCTTTCTCCCTCCCTTCCCTTCTCTCTAAAAATAAATAAATAAAATATTAAAAAAAAAAGAATATCTGCATATGTCAGGCTCTGTTTAGCTCAAGGGGAGCGTCCCAAGAGTGTGGCTCTGGCCCGCTGGCGGGGGAGCCCCGGAACGGCAGCAGCTACACCTCATTCATCTCGTCCGGCACTGTCCGCAGGTGGCTGCTGTGGCCAGGGGACACACTGTACAGAGCGTCCCCTCCCTTGCAGAGCGAGGCTGGAGCTGCCGCTCCCCTCCTGTCCTCCGTCCTGTCCTGCGGCCTCCAGGCATCTCCCCTGCTCTCTGCCGGGGCCTGGAACCTACGAGGTGGCAGGGAAGAGAGACCCTGAGCTCTTCTTTCTGGGCCTGTGAGCCTCTCGCCCAGCAGCTGGCAGCCACGGGGCAGAGTGTGTGGGAGTCACTGCTTCCTCTTCTGGGGGCAGGAGACGCTCTTTGGAAATCCCCGGATGCACAGGAGTGTCTGGCCTGTGCAGGAAGCGTCTAGCTGGACCGGAGTAACCTGCCACGAGCGGGCTTCTCTCTGCAGCACACAGCTCGACGTGGCTGAGGAGCTCTGTGTCTGCAGGGACAGGCGAGGCCCCACTGTCATGGAGGGAGGGGACACAGGAGTGGGCGGCCCTCCACTGTAGTCCTGGAGCCTGGTGGTGAGACAGCGACACCAAGGGGTCCCGGGGCATCAAGAGCGGAAATGCTGGTATCTTGGAGTCCAGGTGTCTCTTCTGGAGCTCAGACTCTGCTGGCTTCTCACTGCATTGGGAGTAAACCCAGACCCCGCCTGAGGCCGGCCCCTCTGAGCGTTGCTTACACACAGCAGCCTCGCAACAGCCTTCTGCCCCCAGCCCCGCCCCCAGCCTGCGCCCTCGCGCTCCCTTCAGCCCGCAGTGCCTTCCTCTCGGTCCTTGCAGACCCGCCCTTTCTCATCCTCACGGTGCAGCCCAGCTGTCTCTCCCTGGGCAGCCTGCCCTGGTCTCCTCTGCGGAGAACTATCATTGCTTTGCCTACTTATTTACTTGTTTATAGCTGGTCTCAGACACCACAATGGCAGGGACTCTGTGTCCTTCTGTCCCGACAGCGGCACTTGCCCCAGTCCCGTGGGTGCTCGGTAGTTTCCATGGGAAGGAAGGAAGGAAGGAAGGAAGGAAGGAATGAATGAATGAATGAAGAAATGGGCGAGTGAATGAATGAATGAGGGTGATGCAGAGGGTGGCAGTTGGCGCTCTGGCTCCGGCTCAGCCCTGACTCACCAAGGGCCCTGAGCTGCCGCCGCCCTTCTCTAAATTTCAGTTCCCTTAATTGCAACATGAAATTAGATTAGGGATCCTCCTCACTCCGGTGGGCAAGTAACTGAATACGGTCCACTACCGCTCACCACCGCTGCGGGGTCCGACGGGCTTAGGACCCCAACACTGACACATTTCTCTTTTTTTTGTAAATTCAACAAGAACCGATCACTGACAAGTTGCCTCCATGGGTCTGGCAAAACCAAAAACCAACAAACAAAACCCCAGACTGGTGAGGTGTCCGTAAGTGATACAAAATCCAGTCACGTCGACGTTATTTTTCCACAGCTGGGTGCACACATGTAAGCCTTTTAAAACTCTCACTGGTTCTTCTACCATGGATCCAGCAATTCCGCTTCTAGGTATTTATCCAAAGGAAATGAAAACACTAACTCAGAAAGGTAGCGTGGTCCTTTGGGTAAGAGACTGACACCAAAGACAACAAAGGAGAAACTGCATAGTTTTGTTGTGTGCAGGTAAGTTCTGTGGAGGAAAACACCAAATAAACCAGGGAGAGAGGGAGCCATGGAGGCGTCTAGAGGAAGAGCATTCCAGGCAGAGAGAACAGCCAATGCAAAGGCCCCGTGGTGGCGGCAGGTCTGGCTCGTCCCAGGAACAGCAGGAGGCCGTGTGGCTGGCTCAGAGCAAGTGCTGGAGATGTGAGGAGGGGGTTCTGAGAGGGTGTAGGGCACAAATAGCACTGGATGATTTCAGCAGAGGAGTGACACATAATGACTTTTTTTTTTAGATTTTATTTATTTATTTTTAGAGGGGAAGGGAGGAAGAGAGGGAAAGAAACATCCATGTGTGGCTGCCTCTCATGCGCCCCCTACTGGGGACCTGGCCCGCAACCCAGGCCTGTGTCCTGACTGGGAATCGAACCAGCGACCCTTTGGTTTGCAGGCCAGTGCTCCATCCACTGAGCCACACCAGCCAGGGCCTTTTTTTTTTTTAAATTAAAAAAAGAATTTTTTTTTTTAAATTAAAAAAAAATTTTTTTTTTTTTTAAACAGACTCACACCGGCTGCTGTTGGTGGAAGCATGGCTGGCAGCGAGGACCTCTTGCTATAGCCCAGGTAAGAGACGCCAGTGATTGGGGCCCACATGGTCATTGTGGTCTAACCAGAAAGGGGCTGCATCCTGGGTGTGTTTTTAAGGTCAGGCCAGAACACTTGCTCCCAGGTTGGCTGTGCACATGAAGGAAAGGAAGGCGAGGTGGCTAAGTTTCCCAGTTGCTCTGTGCATTTTCCTAGGGACCCTCCTATTGTGGGGCGTTGGGGAGGCTGCCAGCTTGGCGCTGTTAGAGCGAGGCTGGCGGGGGGCGGGGGGGCATGCCTGCAGGTAGACCACTACGCCACCTGGAATGATTCTCCGGGGGTGGTTTCAGGCCTCTAAGGCAGCGCTTCCCAACCCCGACCTCCTGTGTACTACCTGTGCAGGTACTTCCCGGGAGGCAGTGTGGCGCAGTGCTTAGAGCCTGAACCTGCCAGGGGCCTGAGGGCGAACCTCGTCTCTGCGGTCACTGCTTGGGTAGGTTAATTAATTTTTCAGTGCCTCGATTTCTTCATCTACCAATTAGGGATAATGATAGTCTGTCCCCTGGAGGTGGAATTAACTGAGTTAGTAAGTGCAAAGCCCGGCCCATAGGAAGCACTGTGCAAATATCAGTTCTTTTTCTTTCAATGCACTTGACTTTAAAAAAATCTCCAAATACAAGTGTTTTCGAAGGAACATTTGTATTAATGCCTTGGATGGAAAACTAGTGTCACTTGCTTGGAACAATAAGAAATCATCACAGAAAGGTGTTTGAGCCCTGTTAGTACTAAACGGAGCCTCAACTCAAACAGCAGTCTCGAAAGAGAAACGAAAAAAAATACGACACGCCTGACATGTAACCCATCACACCCTCAAAACCCTGTTCTTGGACTGCACAGTATTAAGGCTTTAGAGGACCAGGGGTTTACTGACGCCCTCGAAGCGCGCATTCTGTTCTGTCACCACTTTTCCTGGCTTCTCATTTCCCAGGATGTCGCCGTGCGTGTGCCTACGTGTGTGAGGAGGGGATGGTGTTGGGAGGGGGACTCCCGGGTTCCTTTCAGTTGAAAGGTGACCCAGAAGCGGGGATACACATGCCCCGAGTCACGCAGCCGGGGTGGTCCAGCCCAGCAGGCAGCCGGGCCAGTCTCAGCGAAGACGGGGCGGGGCACGGGGACAGAAGGGGCGTGGCCTGCCGGGGAGGTGGGCGGGGCCGGGCGCGGGGGCCGGGCCCGGGCCCGGCGGGGGCGGGACTGAGCTCAGGAGCCTCGGCAACCTGGAGGGGTGGCCCCAACCGCAAGGAGGACTCGGGGTGCCAGTGGCCCAAACTGCGTGCTCCAGCGCCGCCCGGAGAGCGCGGGTGCCGAGGGTCCCGCCCCAGGACCCGGACACCTGGCTTCGGAGCCCTCCTGGCCACCGGGCTTAGGAAAGGCTGCTTCGGTTTCCCCGGGAGGACTCCGGGGTCTTCCTGGATGGTAAGACGGAAGCAGGGGTCTCGAGGTTGGGGAGCCCCCTAGCGGGCTGTGGCTTTGGAAGACGAGGAGGTTTGGAGACATTGGTACAACTTCTGGGCCCCGTGAGCCTTTTAGGTGCAGGGAGCCGCGGTGCCTTGGGGTGCCGGGGGCTGTGGAGGGGGGCGCCACGGGGAGGGAGAAGTCCTGAGGCTCCGGCTGGCTGGGGACGAGTAGGCCGGGCTTACTCAGAGGGGACCACTCTCTTCTCCCTGGGCCTCAGTGTCCCCGTCTTTCCCATGCATGCCTGTGAATGGATGGGTTCTGGTGTGGGAGTGCCTGGGTGATCTTTAACCCTTCCTGCGGCCTGGTAACCCTTTTGGGACCCCCCGGGTCTCCTCCTTGGTGGGTGCAGAGAACCCTGTTCATCCCCTCACTGCCCCCAGGCAGGGCCACACCAGCATCCGTCCAGTGTCACATCTCTGTGCCTTTGTCTTTCTCCTTTGCGCCTCATGTTGGGGAACCCCCACCCCACCCCACTTGCTTCCCAGGAAACTAAAAGGCCCCCCAAGCCCCCTGGGGGAGGGCTGCCCTCCGTTCAACCGCTGGCCCTCAGTCGGCTCTTGTTTCTCTCCCTCTTTCTGAGCCTTTGCGTTTTTCCCTGTTGCGGCTTTGGTCTCCCGATGGGCAGTCCCCTGGCCGCAGGGTCCTTGGTCTCTAGAGGGAAACCCCTTGGTGAAGAGAACCACAGCGACCCTGTCATTGCTTGTGCCCTCGCGTCCCAGCCACGCTGCCCCTGAGTTTGTGGGTCACTCAGGTGCCCTTCGCCAGCCTGCACACTGAGACCCGAGGCTGGCGGGGACCCTTCCAGCCCACACACCTTCCCCCCGACGCAGGACCCTCTGCAGCATAGGCTCAGTAATGGCAGACTCCTTGCTACTGAGACGCTGTTCAGAGGTTGGGCTTCCCAGGGCGCCCCTCCCGCGTTGGCCTGCGGGGACCTAGTGGCTGAGCTTTCATCACTGAAGCAAGTCAGCTGCTCAGGGTCCCCAAGACCCAGGCTGGCTGTGGTCTCGGGAGGAAGGAGGTATCCGGGCCTAGGCCTGGGTTTGGGGATCAGGGAGGGTCTGAGTGGGTTACCCCAACCCCTTGGTCCTGTCTCAGCAAGGACATGCCCCTTTCTCCGGATTGTGGGGGGTGGGGGCTCCTCTTCCCGAAGGAAAGACTATAATGACTCCAAGGTTGTAGGAACTGAAGCGGAGAAGAAAAGGCAACAGCGATAGACAGATGCATTAAGTCTGAAGAGGGGAAGTCCCAGCAGGGGATAAAAGGTCAAGGGGCAGGATTTTAGTTTTTATTAAATAGGTGATGAGCGGACATCTATTTTCTTTCTCTCTCAATTAAAAGGGGAACAGGAGAAACTCAAGTTAGACGTAATAAAGAACTTCCTGAGCTGCGTAGTGAGGACAGAAGCAAAGCCAGGTCCTCCTTCCTGGATGTTAAAGATGAAATAGGACGAGGCCTGCTTGGACACAGGGTGCTGGCCAGATCAGCCCTTGGGGATTCTTCCTGCTCTGAGGCTTCTGGAACAGGGCCTGGGCAGGGATGGGGCTTTCCAGCCGCTGGTAGGAGAACAGAGTGTCAAATGTTATGTTTTGCCCTGCCTCTCTCTCCTGGCATCCACAGAGCCCTGACTTTAGTAGTTGCATGTGTGTGGCCTGACCATGCATCCGCTGCCCGGGGCTTGCTGTGTTCAGGAAGGGCCCTGCTCACTTGTCCCCGGTAGGTGAGCACACCTGTGGGCATGTCTCAGGTCCCCCTGGAGGTCATGGCAGAGGCACAATGCTTTCTGTCACAACTGCCCAGAGTTACCTCGTTCTGGACAACCGGTTGGTTAACTCTGGCTTCTGGAGCATCCGTTTTGGGCTTCCCCTGGCAGATCTAGGCTTGCCAGTCCTGAGTCACTGGCTTTGCCTTTCCTGCTCAAGGCTTGCCAGAGATGACTCGGCCATGCCCGCTCGCTCAGCCTGATGAGCTTCGACGAGGGAGAGGGTGGCCCAGACTGTCCGGATCCGGAGGAGAGAGCAGCCGTCCACGCTGGGAGGGAGAAGCTGGCATCGTCCTGTGTCACGCTAACTTTTGACCGTCTTTCATTCCCGGCTGCCCACACGCCCTGCAGGTGTTGGCTCAGAGGGTGAGCACCGACCCCATCTCTGGGCTATGCTCTGAGGGGGGGTTCTTTTTCCCAGGGGTGCTGGGGGGGCTGGTATTTGTGCAGCTGAGAATCACTCCAGGGTCAAGCCCAGCGCTCTTCCCACCCTCTCCTGTTTTCTCCTCTCTCTTCCTCTCCTCTCTCCTCTCTCAGCTCTGCTTGGCCGTGGGCACAGGTAGATGGCCTGCTTGGCCACGGAGAATGGTTTAAGTCCTGGTTAATTACCCCCTGTATCGGGGATGCCCCCCTTCCTGAGCTGCCAGACTCACCGGCGACTTCGCTGTGGCGGTTTCCTCCTCCGGCCAGAGATTTCTCCTTTCCCTTACCTCGGCTGCGGGGTGAGGACTGCACAGGCCATTCCAGCCCCTCCCCTCCTGCGGTGGGTTTTTGATTCAGGAACGTTTCCATTGTGCTTCTCAAGGGCCCTACCCCTTTGGGATGCTACGCTGAATCAGTCCTAGGCCCGGAAGGGCGTGAGACCTGTAAACAACCAGCAGGAAAGCCACCAAGTCACCATACTCCTGGGAATGTCCCTGGTTTATAAAAAGAAGCTGGTGTCCCTCATTTTCTGTGCCCACACCCTTTTACTTTCATTTTCACCAGCCTTCGTCCCCAGGACATGTGACAGCTGCAGAAGGACCCTGCTCGGAGATTCTCTCTGCTGCTTGGGGACCCTCCCAGGGCCTGAATCTTTGAGAGGTGACCGCTCCTCGATTTCCAGAACCTGGAGGCTGAGGGCGGAGCCCAGTGTGAGCCGTGGACAGAGGAAACAGCATGTAAGGCTTGGTGGGCAGGGAGGTGAGGGTCTGGGGCAGGTGGGAAGGGGACGGTGATGACCGGAGTCAGTGTGCCCTTGAGTTTTGAAACTACTGAGCTTGCACCGATGATTTTTGCTTCGCTTGGGTCTTTGTAGCAATGTTGTGGGTCCGCCTCTTAGGGTGGCAGAGGGTCACCCACACAGGCACGGGCTCGGGCCCCTGCGGGGACTCAGGGAAAAGGGGATTCGAGGCTGCCTCTGGAATCGTGCTGCTTGCGTTCAGATCCCCCTCATCTGGCCGTGAACCCCTGGGCAGGCCACCTGGCCTCCCTGTGCCTTGGTTTTTTCATCTCTCCAACAGGGCTGGCCATGGCATCAACAGACCTGCTTCCGAGTGGGGGGGAGGGGTAAATGAATTCAGACCGGAAACTGCTTGGAGTGGTGCCTGCTCCCTCGTAGGTGCCTAGTGAACACGAGCCTCGGTCACAGCGAGCACGGCGGTGGCCTGAGTCCAGCCCGCGTGTGGGAGCCCTGGCACACTGCCTCAGGGAGGGTGCGTTCCCTGGTCCCTCGGCAGCCACGGCTCTCAGTGTTGGCCCAGGCTTCTTTTAAACTTCCCAAGCGGGGGATGAAGCCCAGATATGAGAGCCAGGGGCCTTGATTTACCTCCTGCCCCCTTCAAACTCTCTGCGGGGCCTCGAGCCAGTTTCTTGCCTCCTCTGGGCCTCAGCTTGCACATCTGTACAATGGGGGACTCAGCTCAGGGAATGGCTGAGGGCTGAGCCGCGGCCTGCTGGGACTTGGGTGGAGCTGACTGTCCCCCTCCCGCCCTCCCCGCTCCCCTCATGCCTCCCTGCTTCCAGAGATGTCATGCTGCCCTCGCTGTGCTCCCCAGGTTGTGAAATGTGCACACAGGAGGCTTTCCGGGCGCAGAGGAGCCAGCTGGTGGAGCTGCTGGCCTCGGGGTCCCTGGAGGGCTTTGAGAGCATCCTGGACTGGCTGCTGTCCTGGGAAGTCCTGTCTTGGGAGGATTATGAGGGCCTCAGCCTCCCGGGCCAGCCCCTCTCCCGCTTGGCCAGGCGCCTCCTGGACACGGTCTGGGATAAAGGTGTGTGGGGCTGTCAGCAGCTCATCGCCGCCGTGCAGGAGGTGCAGTCCGACAGCGCATCCCCGACGCTGACGCCACGTGGCCGCTGGGACCCCCGCTCACCCCACCCAGCCCGGGACCTGCAGAGTCACCGACCGGCCATTGTCAGGAGGCTCTACAGCCATGTGGAGGGTGTGCTGGAGCTGGCGCAGGCGCGCGGTTTCATCAGCCCCTACGAGTGTGATGAAATCAAGCTGCCCATCTTCACGTCATCCCAGCGGGTAAGGCGCTTTTCTTCCTGGGTGATCAGTGTTTGCAGGAAAAGGCGGCTGCTTAGTCACCGGGAGTCATTTGTTGTTGTGAAGTCAGCCCCGGGGTGAGACAGGGGTCGTGGGTTTCCCCTAGGGAGGGAGCCCGGTGGGTAAAAGCGGTCATGTTTGGAACACCCCCGCTTCTGGCGAGAAGGAGCGTTGCGAGGCGGCCGTGGGCTTAGGCGCTGGAGTCAGAACGCGGCCGGCCTCTCTGTGGAAACGCTGCAGCCCCGGTCTGTCCCCTCTCAGGCTCCTCATTTGTAAAAGCGCAGGCAGCTCCTTGAGAGCGATCGGGGAGGTGCTCTGTGTCACCCTGGAAACGGTGTCCAGCACACAGCGAGCACTCATGAGCAATGCCACTGGCTGCTAGTGAGTCTGTTATCACGGTATTTCACGCCGCGCACTTCCACGGCTGTCTGTTTGCCATGAACAGCTCAGCGGATCATAAAAATTCATCCAGTTAAATCTGCATTTAATACTTCATGTAAGCACACTATCTACTCACATAGTCGAAATGCCCACATAAGAGTTCTGATGTGGAGCCGTGTTAGGTCATCGACACGCGGAGCAAGGGTATAACTTAGCCTCTGAAAACGCCATTCCCCAAGAGCACAGACGTGTCCGTCGGGTATCTCTGAACCTCTGTGTTTTATTTCCCCCCAAACAATCACCCGCAGGCCTCCTGTGACACAGATGGAATGGCCGTGAACATCCCACTGGGTACGTCGAGGGGGTTGAGGCCCAGAAAACGCCCTGAGTCAGCTCACAGAGAGGGCCAGCGCTTGCCTGCCTCACTCAGGCACCATTCATTAATCACTCATTTATGCGGAGAGAATGTGTTTAGATGCCTACTACGTGCCAGGCTCTGTCAGAAAGCTTATTGTGCTGAGTGCCTCGCACATAGTAGTTGTTGATGAAATATGTGAATTATTGTACGAATGAGTTGGACTTCTCTAAACTCGTGCTGTCGTTCGGTTGTTTCTCTGGCCTCCTTGTGTGCCTACAAATTGCAGGAATCAGTGGGAACCTCCCCGCGCCTCCCCATCAGCCCTTCTGGAAAAATAACGACTTCTGCTTTCCCCACAGGCGAGAAGGCTCCTTGATCTGGCCACGGTGAAAGCCAACGGGCTGGCTGCCTTCCTCCTACAGCACGTTCCGGAGTTGCCGGGCCCGCTGACCCTGCCTTTCGAAGGTATGTATGTGGAGGTTCTTCTGCATCCATCGGAAAATAAAGAAAGGCTGTGCAGGGTCACGGCTCAGAGCAGAAGCTCCAGGCTGAGACAGGCCAGTGAGGCTCCCGCCCCCTGCCTGGACGAGCCTCTCTCAGACTCAGCCCTCTTTTTAAGGCTAGCAGCTCCACGGCCTCAGTGGGCTCTTGGGAGGGGTGACAGGATCAATGTGCGACACGAAGGTTCACTTTTATTATTTCCAGGGTGATCTCTGGAGCTACTGTGTATCGAGGGCTGACTGCAGGTTTGCTTTCTAGCCGAACTCTCACTATCTATACCAAAACGATGTGGACACACTTTGAGAAAGGGCTGGCCTCCCTTTTATTTCTGAATTTATTTTTCAATTACAGTTGACAGACAATATGATCTGAGTTTCAGATGTACAACATAGTGATTAGGCGTTTAGACACCTTAGCAAGGGCTGGAATCTCTTGGCCTCTGCAATGGAGCTGCTCACTCTCGGAAACTCAAGAACCACATGGATTTCGATAACGTGGTGGTAGCTTTCATTGCACAGGGTCAGCCACCCGACTCAGGTGTCCTGCCAGGCGCTTTGTTTACAATCTCTGTCCCCTGAGACGTAGGTGTTGTTCTCGCTGCCTTACAGACGTGAAAGCCAGCGACCAGACAGCGGGGAGGGGCTGGCGGTAGACAGTCTCCGCTGTTGCTTCTCTTTTCTTGGGAGGAGAGATTGTCAGCGGTGAAGAGAAGACGTAAGCCTGGCGCTCTGAGTCTTATTCCCACATCCCTGTACAGAAAGCCCCCTGGCACTGAGGACCCCTGTCTCTGTGTGGTGTTGGCGGATGGATCGGCCATGCTGGGCCTGGCTCTCCGGGCGGCGAGCGTGCCCGTGGGAGGGGTGGCTGGAAGCCTGTGCTTGTTCCCGGGGCGGGCACACTCTCGCCTGAGAACAGAGCGCACGCATCAGGCAGGGCTCTGCCGGGGACGCGCACAGCACAGAGCCACTGCCCGCCTAGCCCTTGGTTAACATTTGCTGCTGGTTAATACAGGCACCACCAGCTGCTCCCCCAGTGTCTCCCTGTGCCATGGTGCACGATTCCTCAAGGCGAGGACCCTACAGGGGACGACGGGCATGGTGTGGTTTTCAAATGAGAGGTAATGTTGTTCTTCCTGGAGAACTTTGCTATCATTGGTTAGAAAATCTGCACTGAAAATGAGTGTTGGGCACAAGAGTATTTCGTGGCCTCCGTTTAGCACTCCCGGTGCAGCCGTGAGGCGTTCCGAACAACGGTCGCCAGTTCTGGGAACAGAGGAGGAAGCGCAGGTACAGGGCGCCTCCTTTACGTGACGCAGTCCAGCTTCGCTGTGCCAAGAGCGTTCTGTGGAAATTGCTTGTGAGCCTTGTGGTGGGGAACATGTGGGTCAGAAAGGGGTACGGGGACAGCGAGGCCTTGATGGGGTGGACCATGCCCTGAGGTTCCCGCAGCCGGGGCTGCCGGCCACCACTTCCCTGTTCCCTGAAAGGGGAACTGTCCCCGGACGAGGAAGTGTGCTCCAGCGTTGGGATGACAAAGGAAACGCAGAGATTCTGTGGATGCTCCCGACACACGGGGCTCCAACTGCAGAGGGCAGGTGGGGACGATGGGGAAGCGGACCGCGGTCAGAAAGCCTTGTCCGAGTGCTGACCCGGGCACCCCCGTGACCCCGAGGGCTCGGCCAACCCAGACAATCCAGGGGAGTCTCCCCGTTCGAGGTCTTCCATCACGTTGGTCCAGTCCCTTTTGCAAGTCAGGCGACGCGTTCACAGATTCCAAGGATGAGGTGTGGACATCTTTGGGGCGGGGGGGCGCCATGGTCGTGCCTAGAACACACCCCCTAATAATAATGATAATGAACACCGTTTTTTATAAGTTGAAATGTGTCAGGCATTCTTCTAAACTCTATTATACCTCGATTCCTCTCGAAACAATCCTTGCCGATGCAAATGGGCCCCATTTTTACAGATAAGGCTACGGAGGCCAGAAAAGGGGCTCGCCCAGGCTGATGGTGGGCGCGGGTTTCAAGCTCAGGGGTGCCCGACTTCAGACACCCGGGCTCCTCAGCGCCCCCCCACCCCCGTCCGCTTCCCTTTAGGAAGATGCAGCTGCGGCTGAGCGGCGACGGGGTTCCCCTAAGTCTGTGTGGACGCCGGGTCTTCTGGTCCAGCGCTGGGCTCCTTCTCATCAGCCGCTCTTCCTGACGTCTGCAATGAGAATAGCACTAACTGATGTTTTTTGAGCACTTCTTTTGGGTCGGATTTTGTGTCAGACACTGAATAAAGCCCCTTGATGTGAACGCTCTTAATTGATCCAGGAAAAAACCCTGTGACAGAGGGACCCCTGTCCGTCCCACTTCTCAAGGGAGGAAGCTGAGGGGGAGGAAGGTTATAGGACCGCCCTCCAAGTGAAGAGCTTGTGCGTGGAGAGCCCTCTGGCTGTTCCCTCCTTCCTGTAATGTCACACTGTCTCCTGCAGACCCCTCTCTGCTCAGGTCCCACCTCGTTGGCCTCTTCCTCTGTCTTCCAGAGACTGCCGCCTGGAAGAAGTACATCTCCAAGCTGAGGACCACGGTCTCCGCCCAGTCTCGCTTTCTGAGCACCTACGACGGGACAGAGAATCTTTGCCTGGAGGAAATATACACGGAGAATGTTCTGCAGGTCCAGACGGAGGTGGGCGTCACCGGACCCCCGCAGCAGAGCCCTGCCCCCCTGGGCCTGGGGGAGCTCTTCAGCGCCCGTGGCCACCTCAACGAGGACGCGGACACCGTGTTGGTGGTGGGTGAGGCGGGCAGCGGCAAAAGCACGCTCCTGCAGCGGCTGCACTTGCTGTGGGCTGCGGGGCGGGGCTTCCAGGAGTTTCTCGTTGTCTTCTCATTCAGCTGCCGGCAGCTGCAGTGCGTGGCAAAACCCCTGTCCGTGCGGACGCTGCTCTTTGAACACTGCTGTTGGCCTGATCTTGGCCAAGAAGACGTCTTCCAATTCCTCCTTGACTGCCCTGACCGTGTCCTCTTAACCTTCGATGGCTTCGATGAGTTCAGGTTCAAGTTCACGGACCACGAGCGTCACTGCTCTCCGACCGACCCCACGTCTGTCCAGAATCTGCTCTTCAACCTCCTGCAGGGCAACCTGTTAAAGAACGCCCGCAAGGTGCTGACCAGCCGCCCGGACGCGGTGTCGACGCTCCTCCGGAAGTACGTGCGCACGGAGCTCCACCTCAAGGGCTTCTCCGAAGACGGCATTGAACTGTACCTGCGGAAGCGCCACCGGGAACCCGGCGTGGCCGACCGCCTCATCCGCCTGCTCAAAGAGACCTCGACCCTCCACGGTTTGTGCCACCTTCCCGTCTTCGCCTGGATGGTCTCCAAATGCCACCAGGAACTGCTGCTGCAGGGCGGGGGGTCCCCGAAGACCACCACGGATATGTACCTGCTGTTCCTGCAGCATTTGCTGCCGCACGCCTCCCCGCCAAACTCGGCCCCCCATACGCTGGGACCCGGCCTGCTTCGAGGCAGACTCCCCTCGCTCTTGCACCTCGGCCGCCTGGCTTTCTGGGGCCTGGGCGTGAGCTGTTATGTGTTCTCAGCCAGGCAGCTCCAGGCAGCGCAGGTGGACGAGGAGGACATTTCTCTTGGCTTCCTGGTGCGGGCGCAGAGGGTCGTGCCCGGGAGCGCGCCCTCGCTGGAGTTCCTACACATCACTTTCCAGTGCTTTTTTGCTGCCTTCTACCTGGCGCTGAGTGCCGACGTGACGCCCTCCTCGCTCAGGCACCTCTTCAGCTGCCGTCGGACAGGGAGCTCACCGCTGGCCACGCTGCTGCCCGCGCTGTGTGTGCCGGGCCCGCGGTGCAAGGAGGGCAGCGTGGAGGCTTTGCTGCAGGAGGCGGAGCCGCACAACCTCCAGATCACGGCGGCCTTCCTGGCGGGGCTGCTGTCCCAGGAGCACCGGGGCCTGCTGGCCCAGTGCCGGGCGTCTGAGAAGGCGCTGCGGCGGCGCCAGGCCCGTGCCCGCTGGTGTCTGGCTCGCAGCCTCCGTCGGCACTTCCGCTCCATCCCGCCGGCCCTGCCGGGCGAGGCCAAGAGCATGCACGCCATGCCCGAGTTCATCTGGCTCATCCGCAGTCTGTACGAGCTGCGGGAGGAACGTCTGGCGCGGGAGGCTGTGCGCGGGCTCCGCGTCGAGCACCTCAAGCTGACGTTCTGCAGCGTGGGCCCCGCCGAGTGTGCCGCCCTGGCCTTCGTGCTGCGGCACCTCCGGCAGCCCGTGGCCTTGCAGCTGGACCACAACTCCGTGGGTGATATCGGTGTGGAGCAGCTGCTGCCCTGCCTCCATGTCTGCAAGGCCCTCTAGTGAGTGTTGCGGTGGGGGCGCTGGCGGGCACGATGGGGGTGCCACCCACGTGGAGGGGTAGGTGCGGGAACACCTGCTGGGATCCAGGAGTTCAGGCCCAGCCCCCGGCTGCCTCCTCCTCTGTGCAGCCCTCGCCAGGCCCTTCCCCTGTCTGGGCCTTGGTTTATTTTATTATTTTATTTTTTATGTTTGTTTCAGGTGTACAGCATTAGTTGTTAGACAATTATATAATTCACAAGGCGATCTCCCTGATAACTCTAGTACCCACCTGGGCCTTCGTTAAATATACGGTAACGAGAGCCCTAATTCCTAGGCCAGCCTGTGTGAGGGGCATGTGCCACACATTTCCCAGCGTTACCTCTTTTATCTCCGCAGCCACCCTGGGCTGTGGCAGGGACATTCTTTTCCCCTTCATCCCCAGAGCTGAGTCTCAGAGACGTGACGCAACCGGTCCAGGGTCCCCTAGGGAATGCCAGAGCTGGGAGTCACACGTCACATCTTTCTGGTTACATGTGCCTGCTCCCCACAAGCACCCCGTCTGTGGACGTGTGTCAGAAGCTCCCTGACAGCTTTGAAGTCACGTGCAAAGTTTCGTGTCCTCTGTGTCTGTGTGAGGAACTGTTCCAAATCAGCAGTGACTTGTACCCCCTTAGAGACTTCAAAACCCCAACCAGAGGGGCATCCCGGGACCCCAGAGAGGGAACGAGGCTGTGGAGCTTCCCCTGAGCTTTTGTGCTGCATGCAGTGCGGGAACCAGGAGAGGTTCCGGTGCTGCCCACGCCGCCTTCAGCCCCGTCGGAGGGTGCGAGGCTCCCGCTTTGCAAGGTCGCTGCCCGGCCCCCGTGGGCCTCCCTCCCTGTCTTGGGCCCAACCAGCGTTGGGGGTGTGCCCAGCTCTGGCGGCCAGCACCCTGCAGTCTCCCCAGCTTCCCTTTCAGCCTCGGAAGGGGATGTCCTGCCCCCTATTAATAACCCCGGAGAAAGCAGAAGTTGTAACTTAAAGTTAAAATCTACTCACGGCCTCCCAGGCATTTGATGCTAAGCAAGGGACAAACCTCTTCTGGAACCTATTAGGGTGACATACCTTCTCTAGGCCAAAGCAGCAAGACTTTGTTCTTCGTGGAGCAAACACATAGATAGTAGCGACTAGAAACTGAGCGGTGACCTTACATCGGGACCGTGGCCCTCAGTGTATAAATAAGATGTAATAATACAACATAGGTCACATACAGTTTATGTATATTACATATAATGACTATATATTGCAAGTGTGACTATATCTGATGACGCACTTACCTTGGGTGATTTGAAGAGAGTTTAATAAAGGGAGTGTTTTCGAAGGCTTCGGTGTTAGGAAGAGCAGGGCCCGTGGCGAGTAGCAGTGGGACAGGGCTGGGGACAGGGCTGGGGACAGGGCTGGGGACAGGGCTGGGGACAGGAAGGTATGGAGAGGGCCACCCGACAGCCGCTGAGGTGGCAGCAGCCCGGAAGGGTGGGACCTGGGGAATGACTCTGGACTCACTCCCCACCCCATGGGGTGGCCTTAACCCCACCGGGGGGCAGAGCCGGGGGCGGGGCAAGCGGGTGGCATCCTGGGAATCAGCCCCCAGGCCTTGGAGCCGGCCGAGAAGGGGGCCATGGGTGCAGGCGGGTGCAGGAGGTGGCCAGTGCAGCCCATCGATGTCCCCGGGCAGGGAGAGTTCCGACTTGTCGCTCAGGAGTTTCCAGGCCAGTCAGTGGAAACTGTTACGTGATAGAACTACGCACGTGTGTGTTTCTGGATTATGGACCCACGGTTCTCAAAGGGGTCCTCGAGCCCCAAGAGGTCCCAAGAGACCCACGGACCTGGGCGGTCCTCACAGAGCCATCTCGGAAATGAACGGACCCCTTCTCCTTGGTGAGGAAAGCCCCTGTGGTCCTGCTCCCGGCCCACCTTCCCCTCCCGCCCCCGAGCTCCGAAGGTCCAAGCGCCGAGGGGAGGCCGGGCGCCTGACTCTGGTTCCCCAGGGGCCGAGGCTGGGCTGGTCCTAGTCCTGCGGCTCAGCCTCTCGGGGCAGAGGGGCTCATGGCAATGCAGGTTCTTGGGCCCGTCCCAGTGCCTCCCATTCTCTAGGTCTGGGGTAGGGGCCCAGGAATCTCAGTTTTAAACAAACGTCCCTAGAGATGCTGATACAAGCGGTCCAGGGCCACGCGGTGGACACCGCTGGTCGGTGGGAACCCGCTTGATGTTCTGTTAGCACTGACCGCCCTTGACCAAGTCTTGCCTACCTGGTGCCTATACTGTGGGGGAGGGCGAACCACTACAAGGTTGCTCTGTGGGCATTTCCTGTGTGAAAGAGAGAGAGACTGAGAGAGAGAGGGAGAGAGAGGCTCCTTCCTCTCCCACAGTTCCCTGGGCCTCTTTCCCACCTGTAGAGTTTCCATGCCAACTGAAGCCCTCAGTCTCTGGGAAACATGAACACCAAGTGCCCTTATATGGGCTTCTTTAGACCCTGGCTCTGACTTTGCGGGGAGGTTGCTGGCTTTAAAGTGTTTGACTGTGACCCCCCCATGAGAAACAGAGACAAAACAAAAACTTCTCAGAATGACTTCCCCCTCATTACCTTGGACTCACTCTACTCTCTCCTTCTGTTCTCTTCTTTTTCCACTTAAAAACTGCTGCTCGTGACCTTCAAAGTGGGTTTCATGACCCACCAATGAGTCTTAATCTACAGTCTGTCATCGCTCTTAAGTCCCAGAGAAGACAGAAGCCAAACAAGGTCCCGGTTAAGAGTGGGCTCTGGAGCCAGCCCGCCCAGTCCCAGCCCTTGAGGTTCTGTGCAGACCGGCAAAGTCACTTCGCTGGTCTGTGCCTCCGTTTCCTCCTCTCTACCTACGTCGTGGGCTTGCCAGGATTAAATACTGTTGCTATTAGCAAGTGCTCTGGGCTGCGCCAGCGTGTCCGGCGCTCCGGACACGCAGTGATCCTTATTACAGCTAGCTTTTACCGTGTGCCACATGCTGACAGGACTTTATAGGCACTGTCTCTTTAAATCCACCCCGGGGCTTGCCTTTCAGCAAAGAGCTGGAAAGTGGCTGCTCAGGATCAGGACTTCCCCCGGGGGATCCCAGAGCCTGAGCTGGTGCCCGCTCGCTCAGGGCCTCCCAAGTTTTTCTGAAGACGGAGAATCCCACACACAGGTGTTAGAATACACAGAACCCTGGGCCCCGCCCTGTACATGCTGCCTTGCTGGCTCCAGGTGCTACGGCGGAAGTCTGTAGTTTAGGGATGCTTTCGGATCTTGTGATCTGGTGAATTACGGAAACACTGACCCAAGGGGCATGTCAGGGGGCCTGCCAGGCAGGGTCTGGCCTGCAGAAGTGATGTCATTGGGGTGAGGGACTGGGTAGCAGGGCCGCACCAACCGCAGCCGCAAGGCATGCTGGTTTTCCAAAGTATTGGCCCCTCTCGTCTAACTGGTCTACCCTCTGCTTGCCAAGCTGGTAAGCAGAAGGCAGACCTCTCTGCACCTTGGTGCACCACGGTGTCTAGTTCTTCTGCACCTTGGCCAGCGAGCAGCTTCTTCGCACCTCGGAACCTTCTGTGAGGCTATGCTCACAACCACTTCCCTTCCACAGAGCTGGAAAGGGGTGCCTCAGAGTAATTAGGTCTGTGACTTCCTGAGCAGTCCAGTGTCCTCGAGCAGAGGCCCTGGGTCCCCAGTTTCTGAGCTGCACCCCACGGAGTGCTTCCCTGGCCAGGGATGGAGGAGTTGCCACGTTTCTGGGTTGCTCCATCTTTGCGGCATTTCCCAGAAGCACAGACGCTAACACTTTGAGGATGAGTGAAAGTCTCTTTTGAGGTTTTGGTCATTCTTTTCCCCCCTCTCACAAGCTGTGTTTTCAAGTTTCTTCATTTGGTATTTTTTTAGCCTGCGAGATAACAATATCTCAGACCGAGGCATTTGCAAGCTTGTTGAACACGCCCTTCACTGTGAGAGGCTGCAGAAGTTAGCGTAAGTTGGGCCGGGCTGCGGACGCCGGGCCCGCGTCTCCGGCCTCATCCCAGGCTGCGTCCCCAAGAGCAGCTGCGAGCGGTGATGGGCTGGGCAGGCGTGTGTATGGCTGAGGGGTGCAGGGCGACTCCTGTCCCTAGGGAACGGGCCCTGGGTTTGGGTGGGTGTTGTCCATCATGCCTTGTCTCCACGTTTCTCCAAATTTTCCAGTTTATTCAACAACAAACTGACCGACGGCTGCGCGCAGTCCATGGCCAGGCTCCTGGAGTGCAGGCGGAACTTCCTGGCCTTGAGGTGAGCCTTGGCCCCCTGTTCCTTACACGCTGCCTTTCTTCCCCACAGCTCCGTCCACTTGGCCTGGGCTCGGCATGTGATTTCCTGGCCGAGTACAGGGCCAGGGTCCTGAAACCTCGGGCAGGGTTTTGCTAGTGCTGTGACGTCCCCCGTGAACCCTGGACCACCTGTGCTGAGGGCTTTCTGCCCTTGGACCTTTAACACCCAGGCCCTCTTCCTTCCCTGTGTCTAAGAGAGTCACAAACTCTCTGGGTTTCCAAATTCCCTGCCGTACGCTGAGCTCAGGGGTACTGGGGGAGGTATGCCGCAGTAACTTGTCACCACCCGTGTGGCTGCCAGTTGCCAAAAAGCTCTCAGAAGGTCCTTTGGGTGCTTGGCGGTGCGGGGTTTGCACTCTGGTCTGGGAGGTATGTGGCTGCCCCCCACCCCCGCCTCCACTGGGCTCTCTCCTATCTGACACCGTTAAATCGCCTCTCCAGCGGGTCTCTGGCTCGGTCTGGCTTCTCTTTCTCTCTGGGCTATTCCGACCTCCTGGAGTGACAGGCAGTGAGAGAAGACAAAGTGAAGAATGGTTTCCATCGATTCTTTGTACCCGCGGGGGCTGGGTTGGCAGATGGGAGCTGCCATTTTTAAATTGTTGACTGTGTATCTCAGTCCCCGGCAGGGCTGCTGAGGGCCAGCGCCGGGGGCCTTCTGTGCAAAGGACTCTCTTCTGCTGCCGTGCCCGCTCCCCCGCATTCACACCCCGGCAGCGGCTGTGGCCAGGCCTGCGCTGGCCCCACCGCGGGGAGGGCTGTGGGTGGTCGTGCTCAGAGGTGGAGGCCTGGGCATCTGGCCAACAGAGCGTTGTCGCTGAGAGCCTGGGACTGCGGAGCCAGGCTGAGCGGGGTTTGAACGATTTGGATCCTCATTAGCTGCTGTGGCCTTGGGTCAGCCCACCGTGTGCCTCTGTTTCTCCTCCCAAAACGTGAGGAGAGTCGTAGCAGCTACCTCCCAGGCGGCTGCCCTGCGCGAGTGAGTTAATCTCCACAGACGCGTACAGTAAGGGCTTTGCATAGTGAGTGGGAGGTCGTGGGCAGTCACATAAGTTCTCAGCACGCTTCCCCGTGTCCGTCCGCTCTTCCAAGGAGGGATTAGACATGCCACCGATTTACGGGGAAACCGCCTGTGAGGGGCTATGGGGACAGCAGCTGGGGAGGCTGGGAGAGCCATCAGACACATTGCAGGACATTGCAGGTGTGAGCGGAGGGAAGGGGACAGGGAGGAAGGGGGAGGGAGGCGAGGGCGGGGGAGGATGCAGCTCGGACTTCAGGGCAGTTCTCAGAGAGGGCGGAAGGCAGCTGAGGGTCCTCCGGTCCCTCCTGCCCCCTGGTCCCCGGCTGGCAGTGGGTGTGGGAAGCAGGCCTTGGTGCAGAGCCGATGCTGGGTTTGCCGGCACAGAGTGGGGCCTGAAGTCATACAACCTGAGAGGCTACTGTCTTCTCAGAAGGGATAATAATACCTGCCCTGTTGGGTCCTGGTGAGTCAGAGCGGTTTAGTGTGAAAGTTCTTTGAAAAAACAAAAGTGTGCTCTTGTTCCAGGAAGCCTGGGTTTGTGGGTGAGCATTCTGGGGGCCTCTCTGAGCGTCCGGATTTTGGAGAACCCCCTGTCCCCAAACTCCTGCCAGGAGGTGCAGCGGGACCCCCTCCTCACTCCCAGTCCTGGGCCTGCCAGGAAACAGGTAGATGCTACCTGCCACAAAGTGGGGCGGGGAAGGCTGCGGGGGCGCTGAGACAGGAGGAAAAGGTGTCACAGTGAGTAACCCTGGCTCACCTTCCAGGACCTCTGGCTCCTGTGGTTCCTGCCTGTACCTGCCACCCTGCTTTGCCAAGCAGCCTCCCCGCCCCTCCTTTCCCGGTACTGGTGGAAAATAGAGTCTCAGGAGCTATTGCGTAAGCTCCCCCAGGACAGGCGGCTTCTGCGTCCAGCACACAGTCCCCGAAGCGGGGCGTCTAGGTTTCCCTGTCCCGGCCGCACTCTCCCCAGCAGACCTGGCCTTCGGTCCCCACGGCCTGCCTGTCTCAGCCTCCTCTGTCTTCCCTTCCAGGCTGGGGAACAACCATATCACCTCCGCCGGAGCCCAGGTGCTGGCCAGGGGGCTCAGAGCCAACGCCTCCCTGCAGTTTCTGGGGTAGGTTGGGTTCCGGGTGGGCTGCGTGGAGGGTTGGGGGCGGGTGAAACTGCCGAACCAGAGGGCCCCAGGGGCAGCCCAGGCTCTGGTGGGGAGGGTGAGGCAGAGGAGACAGTGGGCGGCCCTTGGCTGCCTGATGCTTGCTTTCCACTCGATACACAGGAAGTTCAGGATGTCGGTGGTGGGGGAGGGTAGTGCCCATGAAGGGGCAGGAAGCCCTCGGGTTCTCGTGGGTGCTGGGGCTGTGCATCTCACCTCTGTGTGCGTTGGAACCGTCAGGGCGCTTCCACAGGTTTCCATCGCCTGAGCCCCACCCCAGACTAATTGTGAACGACCTGGAGGGGGGGCCCAGTGACAACGGAGGCCAGACCGAGGCCAGAGCAGGCCCGGGGAAGGCTGGAGAGCGGGCCAGCGGGGAGGCGCCTCGCCAGGTCCTTCCGAGCTCTTGCTCACAGGAGGGCACGCCAGGCCTGCCGGGGAGGGGCGAGGCGGGGGACGGTCAGACACAGGCTGGGAGGGCAGTTCCACGGGTTCCAGGGCCCCGAGTGGAGCGTCCTGCGTGCTGGGCAGAGCGACAGCCCCCAACATGGCTCGGTGCAGTCCCTTGCAGCCCCTCCCCTGTCCTGTCTTCCCCCTGTGGGTCCGTCTGACAAGAGCCGGGGGCCCCAGAACCCCGGACTGCAGGAAGGCAGAACAGCCTTAGAGCCCACGTGCTGCGCCCATTCCACAGGTCGGCAGGCTGCCCCCGTGCAGCTGGGGCCCGGCGCGGGCCCGTGGCTGGCGACACCGGCACCTTTTCCGAGCCGCTTCAGTAACTCGGAGTCTAGGACAGGGGCCATAGCCCCACTGAGCTCTTTCCTATATGACATCACATCTGGCACGTCTGGGGGGTTTATCTTCCAGCACAGGCTTATGACGGCCCCTGTGTGGGCCGGGCACCGTGCCCAAACCCCCAACCACCGTCCTGGGATCCAAACGGTTCTGCAACCAGCAATCTTTTCTCCACAATAGAGTGTGGACATCTTTTCATCTCGCATGACTTCATTGTTTAAGGAGCGGCTGTGTAGCGATCCGCTGGTTGGATGTTGCTGCACACTCAGGTTGTGCCCGGGCTTTTTGCTATTGCGGCGTCCCGTCCCTGGGGCGTGGGGTGACGCTGGTACCTAGGCAGAACCCAATAGATGTTTACCTAGTGAATGGAAGTGCGAATATCTTAGTTCAGCTCTCTTCGCTCACGTGTGTGCACACGTGGATCAGGCTCATCCCCCAGGTGTCAGACGGCTGAGTCACGAAGGATGAGCCGGCGGCACCTTTGAAAACGGGTGTTTCCAAATTGCAGTGGATCTGATGGCCCCGAAGGTGACAGAGTTGACACCGTGAGGAAACCAGGGTGCAAGAGACAACGCGATAGGCTGGTTCTGGGTAGTCTCGGGGGTTCGTTATGAACTTGTGGGTGCAGCTACCAGGAAGCAGATCCCACCCACGTGTGAAGAAAAATGTCGCATCATGTGCATTGCCATTGGGAGTGAGCTCCCCGTCCCTGAGGGTATGCGCTGGGTGGTCACGCTGTTCCCTAAGTCTGATTTAAAGCAGCTGAAAAATCTGGCTGGGGCCGCGGAGAGGAAGGAACTACTAGAGCACGTCTAGGACACATAGCAGATTCCCACTGACACTGTCTGTTGACTTTGTTGGCCTTTTCAGGTTCTGGGGCAACAAGGTGGGTGACAAGGGGGCCCAGGCCTTGGCGGAAGCCGTGGGCAACCACCGGAGCTTGAGGTGGCTCAGGTAAGCTTCCGTGTCTGTCCTGTAGTGGGCACGGGGGAGCCAGCGTGAGGAGGGACAAGCTGGGGCCCGTGCGGAAGGTCTTTGAACCTCACGTTTACCCCCCTACGTTAGACAGTGGGATGAGAAAGCAAGGCCATTGGGTTTGGAGTCAGGCCGCCTGAGTCTTTCTGGGTGACTTTGGAGATGCCCCTTCCTCTCTCAGGGGTCTTGATTCCGTATCTGTAAGGTGAAGACCTTGGATCAGATGCACTTTATCTCCAAGACCAACTCGAATGTGTCCGCAGTGCTGCCCAGCACGCCATGTAGGGAAGGTTCTGAGGCTGCCTCTGGGCTGGTCGGGAAAGGCGACAGATGACTGATGTCTGAGACGGGGCGGGAGAGGAAGGGGGGCTGCACGGGCCCCCTTCCCTGAGGTCCCCCCGCCGGCTCTGACACCCCTTTGTTCCTTGGTCCCATCCAGCCTGGTGGGGAACAACATCGGCAGTGTGGGCGCAAAAGCCTTAGCGCTGATGTTGGAGAAGAACGTGGTGCTGGAAGAACTCTGGTGAGTCTGGGGGAGCCTCTGCTCTGGGGGCCGAGAGCGGCCCGTCTCCCTCCCCCGGCCTCCTCCGGGGACCGACTGTGCAGATGAGGCAAAGGCGTGTGATTGAGTGGCTGGGGAATGTGTTTGTCTTTTGGCGTCCTGCGTGGGTGAAGCTTGTAGAACCTGGATCACTCTTTCTATTTCGTGGCATTTCTGGGTTTGCGGGTTTGGGTTCTGCCTCCGCGTGGCCTCATGGGGGAGAGCACAGATGCCGGAGTCAAGCGGGCTGAGCTTCTGAGGCAATTCAGTAGCGATCTCTGAATCTCAGGTTTCTCCCAACTAGAAAACGCGGTGTAGGAATGAAAGGAGGCAACGCCTGCCTGTGAGGAGCTTAACGGGCGTCAGGGCTTCCTACGTTCCCCGGTGACGGGGATGGCGTGACTGCCCTTGCCGCCGCCGCCGCCGCAGTCCGTTGTGACCGTGGCTGCGGGCAAAGTTTGATCATTTCAGAGGGAGGGGGAGTGCCTGAGAACACTGGGCATTAGGGTCAGGGGCACCTTGGAAGGTGGAGGGGAGTTTGGGGGAAGTTCAGACGTGAACTGTGAGTCACCCTCACACCATTGGCCTGAAACTGAGTCCAGGTTTTCCGTCCATTAGATGTCACCAGCCTAGTCTTCTTACGACCTGTCCCAGGCAGTGCCACGTTGTGTCAGGGAGATGAAAGGCTGACTTGCTCAGGAAGCAGAAGGGCACGGAGACCTCTGAGCAAGGTCGCAAAATGGACATTGTGGCTGTGGGCGGGGCTCACTGGCCCCGCCCATGTCCCGTTGGCTGCACCCTGATTGGGCCTGACCCCTTGGAATTTCTCGGGGGAGGAGGGCTTCGCTGTGAGGGCATCCGCTCTGACTGCTGTAGGCTGCCGGGGCAGGGAAAGCCGCCGCCCACAGGACAGGCGTGTTTTTCCATGGTCCCACGAGGCCAGCGGGGGTCGGGGCGCCCTGTGTTCCGCCAGCTCCTCAGTCTGTGGCTGCGTCCCCGCAGCTGGTTGCCTCGCGATCACAGGAGAGCTGGGGCGCCGATGGCATCCCTCCTGTGCCCCGGGATTCAACCTGCACAGCCAGGAAGGCGAAGGCCCCGGGCCGGCTGGGTTGCTCCCCTGTGAAGAGCATTCCCAGGGGCCCCGTCTGTCAGCGTCCCCTTACGTGTTCCTTCCTGGCCATGTGGCTGTCCTTTGGCCGAACCTGGCTACAGTGGAGAGTGGGAGATGTTTTTCGCTGTTGTTCTTGCTCATTTGTTTTACCAAGCACATGGCTGCCCTGAACAAAATGAGGCTTCTGTTGATGAGAAAGAAAGGGGAAATGGATATTGAATCCTTGGGCCATGAGAAGACTTGGGGTGAATTCTGTCCACAAGGTGTCCCTGAAACGGCGGTTGTCACACCCTGCCTGATCTGTTCCCGCTTTATTTGTAAATGTTGCCTTTTGGATGTTGGACCTTCTAAATGGGGGGGCATGCCTCACCTTCATGAACCTGGTTGTCCATGATAAATGTTACCGTGCCAACGGAGTCTCCCCCTTCTCCCCAGCCTGGAGGAGAACCATCTCCGAGATGAAGGTGTGTGCTCTCTCGCCGAAGGACTTACAAGAAATTCAAGTTTGAAAGTCCTCAAGTAAGGAGCCAGGGCAGCCGTGACCGGCATGGGGCGGGGTGTTTCTGAATCGGAGGCCTGGGCAGGGGCCCAGCCTGGCTAACTCCCACGCGATGGCCTGGTATTGTCAGGGGTCCCCAACACACAGGCAGGGACTCCAAGGCGAGGTAGTCTCGGCACACCCCCGTGAGAGAGCCGTGAGGTGAGGTGGGGAGGTGAAGGTAACGCATAATGGTGTGTCACCAAGTCTTTCACCACTGAGGCAACTGGCGGCCCGTCCCCTGGTGCAGGGCCGCGCGGATATGTATCCACCAACTGCCTGTCCTCGTTAGGTGGAAATGTGCTTGAGGGGACGTTAACTGGCTGGCACTTGCAGCTCGCCCTGAGCATGGCTGAGCATGCTTCCGGGGTCAGGAGCAAAGCCTCAGGCCGGGGGGGCGGATGCGGTTCTTTCCGGAAAGCAGCCCCCAGAGTGGGAGGTGACAGGTGAGGGAAAGCATGGGCTGGGGGCCCCTCCCCGGCTCCAGGACCCTTTTTGGCTCAGGTGAGAGAAGTCTTCCGATGGGCACCTGCCGCGGCTGCTCTCGTGCCGCGCAGGCAGGTGCGCCTGCTTTATCCGTGGGCGTGTTCGTCCGTGTGTGTCCATAGGAGACGTGTTCCTGGGCGCCCACTCGGTGCGGGCCCCTGTTTAGGCAGCGAGGATCGCGTGGTGGCAAGGAGGGGCAGGCTCTGAGGGTCTCCTGGAGGGACAGGTAACGGACTAGCAAACACATGCATGCGAACGGCAGGTAGTCGTGAGGGCTCTGGAGAGAATTTGAGAGGGAGAGACGGAGTGACGGGGTTGAGGGGGCTGCTGCTGCCCCTCGGGCGAGGCCTCTCTGAGAAGGCGGCACTGGAGTTGGAACCCGGATGACGAGCAGGCTCCTGCCCGGCCGAGGTCTCCGGGACGCGCGCTCCAGGTGGACAGAGCAGCAGGTGCGAAGGCCCTGCGGCAGAATCAGCGTGGTGGCTTTGAGAACAGAGGAGGGCCCGTGTGTTCGGACTGTTGGGGGGCAGAGTGGGGCAGAGGTGGGGGAGCGGGCCCCTGGGGCCCCAGGGCCATGGGGAGGGTGGGGATCTCTTTCCAAGGGCACTGAGGAGCCTGTGGAGGGCTTTAATGAGGACGGTCACATGATCTGAATTAGGCCGTAGAAAGATCGATCCTGCCTGCTGCTCCATCAGAGCAGACGAGAGGAGGAGTGGAAGGGGAGCGGGGAGACGGGTCAGGAGGCCCCTGCCGCCTTCCAGGCAGAGATGGAGGCTTGGCTCGGGCCGATGGCAGTAGAGAAGGCTGGGGAGAGGGGCCAGGAGCTCGCGGAGGTCTGGGTGGGACCAGGAGCTGAGGGCAAGGGGTCAGGCCCCCTGAAGGCAGACTCGGTGGGCCAGGGCCCACGCCACATGGAGAGAGGGTGGCGGCTGGGAGCCGGAGCTGTGTCCGTGTGGGAGCCTGAGGCTGGTGCCACCCGAGCCATGGAGCCGAAGGACGCGAGGGCATCACCAGCTGGCTCCGTCTGCTGGAGGAGGGTAGCATTTTCCCTGGCAAATATGGCCCGAGGGGAACAGCCGCCTTCAGAGACAGGCAGACAGACACGAGCAGAGGGACAGCGTTGGGAACCTGTGGCCCTTTCCCGTCTGCCCCTGACAGCACGCCACGTCCCTTCCCCAGCCCCAGCCTCACGCTTTCTCTAATCTGTGTCCCCGTGGCCCCCCACACCCTCCAGATGAAACGTCACTCTTCATTGTTTCCTATCAGTTAACTACAGCGCCACATGGTTTAGAGGAAACCACTCTGTTGGATTCTTATATTCTGTGAAGTAGGTACTTTTTTAGGTCCATTTGAGAGGTGAGGAGATTGGGATTAATTTGCTTGAGATGAGAGAGGAAGCTGTGTGAGCTGAATTTGGACCCAGGAAGTCTGGCACTAAAATGCATGTACTTGACCACCATGCTATATAGCAGCTTGCTAGGGGAGCAGCCATTTCGTTCGATGAACAACTCTAGTGGGCGGAGGAGAGAGGGGAGTGTGTCTCACTTGGGGCCCTGGGCCTTGGTGGACGAGCTCACGGGGACTCGCAGCAGGAGAGGGACAGGCGGGCTTCAGCAGGGCCGCCAACTCCGAAAGCCGCCTTCCATCGGGCAGGCCCGAGAGGATGAGCCAGCATCCTTGGAGTTCACCCTTGCGTCTTCCCCTGCAGGCTGTCCAACAACTGTGTCACCTACCACGGGGCGCAAGCCCTCCTGCAGGCCCTTGAGAGGAACGGTTCCATCCTGGAAGTCTGGTAAGGGCCCTGGGAAGACCCCGCCACCTCTCTGGGCCTCGGTTTCCCAGTCTGTAAAATGGGGCGAGGGGAGAGAGGAGCTTGAGAGTTGCTAAGGTCCCTTTTGGCTCTGGCAGTCCGTGACATTCTGCATGTGTTGGATGTAGTTCTTTGGGAGAAATGTCTTTTTGTCTCTGAGCAGGGACCGGTCCTTTTATTTCTAAATCGTGAGTATGTATTCGAAGCGGCTCTGTTCTCGTCAGTCGTGTGGTTGAGGAGTAACAGAGGAAAGAACTAAGCTCCTGCCCTCCTGGGTGTTACATCTGCCGTCGCAGGTCACAGCCGCGGTGTCAGACCATGTGTGGCTCTGGGTGGGCGTTACACAGAGTGGGCCCTGGCGTGCCGTGTATCCAAGGCTTTTTATCTAAAACCCATATTCTTTCATGTATTTGAAAAAAACTATTGAGTCACAGCTTCAAAGATTTATCTTCCTTTCCAGCGATGTACTTATCGCTCAGGTAGTAAGTCGAAAGGTTCCCCCTGGTTAATGCGTTATATGTGAGCGACAGTTTCAGACTCTGAGCTAGAGACCAATACAGGTGATCACTGACTTACAATAAACCCATCATTAGTTGAAAATATCATTTAGTCAGAAATGCACTGAATACACCTAACCTACCAAACATCACAGCTTAGCCCAGCGCACCTTAAATGTGCTCAGGATGCTTACATCAGCCTCCTGTTGGGCAAAATCTTCCCATGGCCCAGCATCACGGGAGAGCATCATACCACAATCGCTAGCCTGGGAAGAGATCAACATTCAAAGTGTGGTTTCTATGGAATGCATATTGCTTTTGCACCATTGTGAAATGAAAAAATTACATCGGACCATTGTAAGTTGGGGCCCACGTGTATTTTAAAATTAGGAGATTCCCCCATTAAAATCTATACTTCAGAGTTTTCTCAAAAAAAAAAAAAAAAAAAAAAAAAGCCGGCACCCTGGACCCCTCTTGTAACTGCCGGTAATTAAGTGGTGCAGAGGAAGAGCCAGCCCCGCCCCGCTGGACAAACTGGTCCGGGCTGACCGCACACCCGCAAGCCTGTGGGCTGGGCCGGGCCTCATGGGCTGCTGTATGTCACCTGCCTCATTCTTGGGAGATTGTGACCCCGCTTTCAATACACAGACTCACCCCTCCCTCGAAGTGCATATCAAGGTAGCAGCAAGTGTAGGTATCAAATGATGAAGCTGAGAATAAGGACGCCTAGAATCTGCCCCATGCTGAGGAGCCCGGCTCCTGTGCGGCCTCAGGGCCCGTGCACAATGCGGGTTATTTTTTATTTTTAAATCATAGCACAGTCCTAAGGAATGTCACGCTCTCTGCCTGCAGGGAGCAAGCCGGCGTCAGGCGGGTAGTTAAGGGCTCTGATGTTGTCCGCTCCCTGCGGGTGGTGCCGGGTGTGCGATGGGCGTGCTCATCGCATTATGGGCCGATTCTGCTGCTGCTGTAAAAGGGATGGCCGGCCGGCCGGGTCCTGGGTGGACCCTGAGCACAGCCACGGAGCCTGCTTCATCGTGCACCGTGATTCGTGAGCTGCCCTGGAGACGGGGCAGAACCAGCAGACGTCCCTCCCAGGGCAGCTGCCGCTGGGCCGGAGCGCAGGCCACCCTGGCCGGGCTTTGGACAGCGAAGCCTCCGTTGGAAAGCGGTGCTGTGGTTCTGTCCCCCTTCCAACCTCTCTTCGCTGTGCCCTCTTCAGGCTCCGAGGAAACACTTTGTCTCCTGAGGAAATCGAGCGGCTCAGCCACAGGGACCCCAGGCTCCTGCTGTGATGTCTCCGGGCCAACGTGCGTCCCAGGTTGTGTGTGAGCCCTGAGGTTTGGACCCTGGAAGCTGATTACATCGGGCAGCAGCCCATTCACATGGAGCCCTGTCCTGCCCAGGGCCCGCTCGGGAGGCTACCTTTGTTCCCGCAGAGGACCGTCAACGTCCTTCAGAGCGGACGTTTCCAAAGCCTGCTCTGGCCGTCGGGCCCCTCCCACGATGCAGCCTGGGGGCCGTAGGAGAGGAGCGCCACTCTGCTTCACGGGCCGGCCTCCCGCTGATGGGACCTGTCAGGGGCCGCGAGGCTACCGGGCGCCTGTGGGCGTGGAGACCTGGCTCCACATGAGAGGCCCCTTTCCACGCCTCTCACAATGAGGGTGGTTGTTCAGGAAGAAACTTTCTGCCATCTCTCAACTCATGCATCAACCACCCAGCTGTTCCCCACATCTGGTTCCAACATGCACCCTGGACCCTGCACATGGCATTTCCTGTGTGGTTGTGGATTGTGAATATCAGTGTTCTCGGCTTTGATGTCCCCGCTCCCAGGATGGGAGGGGCTACAATGTACCCTGCTCTCCTTTCTCGTCCTTAAGACATTATTAGGAGGTGACACATGACAGCCATTTAGTCCCCACAACAGCCTGGATTTGCAAGGAAGATGGCCACACAATATCTGGTATCACATGTGGACTTTTATTTCCAGTTGAGCCAATTGCTGCTCTTTTCTTAAGCCTTCGGAATCAACTCTCCATCCAAACGCAGCTTCGAAGAATGAGTCCGCGCCAGGATTTTGCACAGCCCCACTAGCTCTCTGGTTGGTGCCATGAACGGAACTCTGAGAACGAGCTTCCACAATATATTCCCAAGAGACGGCTCTGGTTTATGTGTGCCACAATGCTTTAGGATATAAAGTTGTGGATCAAAAGTTTACAGGGGCAAAATCAAAGGCCCTTCCTGATAAAGCAAACGTTTTTCTGGATTTTTCAGAATGATGCATGTGTAATCTTGGTAAACTGTCCAGTGACGTGCAATTATTATTATTTTAAACATTGTTATTTGTGAAAACTGGTTAATATTTATAAACCACTTGGTTTTATTATGCCGAGATTATATTTTTATAAAAAAACGTGACCAGGAATGTTATGCTCAAAATAGTCACGGAGGAGAAAACTATGGAGTACCCCAAGCTGTCTTCATTGTGAGCATTTTTTAATGTTCTTGCCACTTGCCGAATATTAAAGCGCACTTTTCTACTGGAAGGGTGAAAGGTGTTGTTTTTGACTCGATAATGCATTGCTTAAGGCAAAGTGATGCTTAGAAATAGCCTTGCCATCAAGATTTGGCTTCGGCCTGGCCGATCTGACCCCACGTGATATTCTGAGCCGTGCTGGACCTTCATGGTGCCCCTGCTTAAGGGCCCCTGTCTGTCCCTCCCTCCACCCCCCGCCCCATTCTCCAAGTGGCTCCAGGCATCTTTTAACAGGGGAAGGATGGGGAAGTTTGCTAACGGCTCTCCTCAGCCAGCAGCTTCCTGGCTAGGCCTCGTGGAAATGTTTCTTAGCTGCATTTAATGAGCAAGGGCTCAGGTGGCCGCTTACCAAAGTGAAACCCACTGCTTTGAAAGATCCTGTGTGTGCCTGGCTCGTTAAATGCGGCAGCCTCTCCTGGGGCTCCTGCGTGGGAGCGTGTCTGTGGCTTTGCCCTGTTGGGGGTGTGAGGCTCTGACCAGATCATTGTTTCTGACAGCGGAGACCGAGGGGAAGGAGGAGGTGGGCCTGCTTTGTCTTGATGACTGAGCACAGCAGTCCCTTTGCACATCCTGGATTGTCGATGCATCTTCCTTAATTCCAGACTGCAATTATGTTAGCCACATGTATTAGGCTGATCAGTGGGTGAACAAAACAGACACAGTCCTTGTCTTCTAGGCAGTTATGGTGAGGGGAGGGGGAGAGGGAGGCAGAGCAGGGAGAGGGAGAACCAGAAAAACAGGCAACAAGCTGTACAAAGACCCCATCATGAGAAAGAGCTTGGTATGTGTGGTAGGCTGAATAATGACCCCCAAAAGACCCTAATCACTGGGACCTGTGAGTGTTGTTTATATGGCAAAGGGGGCTTTAAAGGTATGATTAAACTAGAGATCTTGTGATGAGGATAGACCCCAAATGCAGCCGCTGGTATCCTCAGAAGGGAGAGGCAGAGGAAGGTCCAACCCAGAAGAAGAAGGCAATGTGACTGCTGATGTAAGAGGCTACGCGGCTGGCCCTGGCGGTGGAGGAAGGGGCCCCGTGGAGCCAGGAATGCAGCTCTAGAAGCTGGAAAAGGCCAGGACATGTTTGTCCTTAGGGCGGGTCCTGCCCTGCTGTCATTTTGGTTCCAGCCCATTTGGAACCTCTGGCCTCTGGGACTGTAAGAGAATAAATCTCTGTCATTTTAAGCTACGCAGTGTATGGCAATTTGTTATAGCAGCCATAGGAAATGAATACAGTATGTCCGAGGCAAGCTCAGGGGAGCGTGTCTCCAGACAGGTTTGAAGAGGTGGACCGGTCATGAAAGGCCTCGCTGGCCGTGGTTGAGAGCTTGGGCTCGGTCTTAGAATAGTGGCAAGCCACCGGAGAGTTCTAAGCAGGGGAAGTGTGACCCAATTACTTTAAAGAAGATCTCTTTTGCTCCTGGATAGAGAACGGACTAGAATGCAGAGGGGTGGGGAGGAGGAGAAGAGGCAACGTGGGGAGGCCAGCTGGGAGCTATTGCAGGTCAGGAGCAGTTGGCTGGCCTAAGGTGGTGTTGGTAGGGGTGGAGAGGAGGTGGGTTCCAGAGGCAGCCTAGAGGTGAGTGCTCAGGGGCTTACGAAGAGACCGGATGAAAGGGATGAGGGAGAGGGAAGAACCAAGGATGACTTCCTAGACATCTGACTTCAGGGTCTGGGACGCCGGAGATGACAGGTAGGAGCCCAGCTTGAAGTGGGAGGGACTTCTGAGACGCCTAGGTGGAGAAGTCGAGTGAAGACGCCAAGTCACGGTGTGAGTCTGGACCCTGAGGGAGAAGTCGTGGCCAGATAGAAGAGCGTGGGGGTCCTCGGCGTCAAGAGGGGGACGGGGTCCCCGGGCCTGGGCGACATAGCCCAGGGAGAGATTGTGGAGAACAGAGAGTTCAAGGGAGCTCGGGGGAGAGCCACAGAGACCTGCCTACGTGATTACGGTCAGGCGCAGAGCAGAAGTTTCCTAACTTTGAAAAATCCAAAGGATCCACCAAAAGCATTCCAGGCCAGGCAGGTAACGCAGGAAGGAGGACTTTGATCTTAAAGTTCTCTGATAAGGACGCTGCCTGGAAGATGTGTGCTGGGGACCGATGGCTTATCCAGGAGCAGACAGAGCCCTCATTTGTGGCAAAGAATGCATCATTCTTATGTGTAGGAAAAGATGCCAGAGCAGGAGAGTTTTTTAAAAGAGCTTCAGACATTTATGATATTCACCATCATCCTAGAGGGGAAAAAAAAAGTCAGTCTGGGTGTTTTTCCCCTCACAGCACCAAAACCAGATGCCAAAAGGAACACACCCCCGGAGATGTGGGCGGCAGAATCAGGTTCCAAGCGGCCGAATTGAGACGACAGCATCGTTTCATTATTGCACCAACACGTTGGCGCCTCCCCGCTCCCCCCACCCCCGGCTCGGGGCGCTGCAGCCTTGGGGGGTGAGGCGCACAGCAGTGGGGCGCACGCTGGGCAGGTCCAGCGGCACCTGCCGGAGCGCCCAGCCTCAGGCCCTGGCTGGCAGGTTACAGGTGAACAGCAAGGTCATGGGCCGCACTGGAGACTGGCCTGGGCAGTTTCCCTTGGGGAGGCAACTGTGCAGACTGGCAGTCCAGGATTTTTGCCCCCCCCCCCCCGTTTTATTGTTTTGCTCCTAATTTAATCCCCCGTATCGTCACTGCCAGAATAATTCACAAATCCAGTCTCCTAAGCATTGCGCCCCTCCCCCGCCCATTCACCCTGCAAATCCTCCCTCTAGGAGATCTCACATTCCCCTCCCCCTCAGCTGCTCCGCCCCACCCCCAGTCAACAAGGGGCTCCTCTGCAGCCCCCTTGACTCCACTGCTGCATCAGTCTCCTGACTGGTCTCCCTGTTCCTGATCTAAACTCTCCAGGACTTCCGGCCTGGCGCAGGGTGAAAGCCGAGGTGTCCCGCGTGCCTGGCCCACCGCTGCTTCTCCCTGGCCTCCCCTGGGCCGGCACCCTCTCCCCCACCCCCCCATTCTCCAGCCATGCAGCCTCCTGGCCATCCCTTGACGATGCTAACCAAGCGCGCTGCTGCTTCCAGAACTTTGCGCCTGCCTCTTTCCTCGTACGGAAACCCTCTTTCCTAGAGGGAGAGTGGCTTTCTGGTTTCCTTCAGGTCTTTGTTCAAACGTCACCTCGTTAAGGGAGTCCTTCTCTGAACGCTCCGACTGAAATTGCAGTCCCTGTGACTCTCTTCTCCGCTGCCCTGCCTGCCGCTGTCTTCTCAGCATGAGCTACTTAAGTGCATTTGTTTCTTCCGTCCCCAGCACATTGGTTCCAGGCGAACAGGGGCCATGCCCACTGCAGCATCCTCAGAGTATAGACGGTGCCTGGCTCGCAGTAAGTGTTCAGATCTTTGTTGAATGGATAGAGAGTCCACCCTACATCCTGGGGGCAGAAAATAGAAGCTGGGCAGTGAGTCCCCTTTTCCCCAAAACCATCAGTGTCCCTCCCTAAGGGAGGAAGGTTTCCTGGACACAGGATGGTTCCTAACGTAGCTAGTTCTCAAAATGGGATTCCCAATGGAGAACCGCCCCCTTTTCTCTAGGTAGGTGTTTTCCAGATTCCACCAAAGTCATTTGGTATTGATAACAGCAAATAGCTCCCACAGGAGAGCATGGATTTATAGTTCAGCTGGATTAGTTTAAAGATATTTAAAGTAATCCCTTTTATCTTATCAAAAAGAGTGTTTAGGTGGCCAGAAGAAGAGGCCCCAGACGGACTGTTCAGTTGCCCCCGGAGCTCCCGCTCGCTAAGAGAGAAGGGCGTGCCTGACATGGTAGACCCTCAACTCATCCATTGATTGAAACACCAACTGCACTGGGGATCATGGAGCAAGTAGGGTACAGCATCCTTGCCTAGGAGGGAGGGACGCCTGGTCCAATTAGCACCGCGGTTTTGAGTTCATCTTGAATGCACCTGTTCAGAGGAGGAATGGGAAACGGCCAGACCATGGGAGGCTGGGTGAACAGCTGGAAGTTGCCTTTATGGGAGATAGGAGGCAGAGAGACGCAGTGGATGGGGGCATAGCGGGGGTTCCCTTGAGGCCGTGGGGCGTGGCGATGCTGGGTGGGCAGTGGGACACGCACGCTGAGTTTGGTGAGGCTGGAAGTGGGAAGTGGCCTGTGATTTGGGAAGCACCATTTGGGAAGCACGGGGCAGGGTGTAAAGAATAGCCATGTTGCTGAGATTTGTTGAGTCCTCACTAGATGTTACTCTTAAGTCCTCAGCCCCTAGCAGGCTCCCGGGGGTCCCCAGCTCCCGGGGAAGTGCCCCATTCAGCTCAAAGACCTTTGGCTGGGCCCCTGCAGCGTGCCATAAGAAAATCATTGAAGACAGCTTAGAAGCATAGTTACCCACCTGGCTTAAAGCCCTTCAGAGGGGTCCCACGGCTCCTGGGCTGTGGACCAACACCTGCTGTGGCTCTCAAGGCCCCGCCTGACCGGCTCTTTTACACCCACCCCTCTGTTGTCTGCCTCTTGCCGTTCCTTCAACATGTCGCCCGCGTTCCTGTTCCCTTTGCCTGGTGGCCCCTCTTCACCTCCGACCGCTAGACATCTTCCCCATCTCATCTCAAAGGGGACTTCCTCAAACAGCCTTTCCCCGAGTGCCCTGCCGCCTTTTCTCTGTGCTCAGAGACTTCTGAGCCTCACTCTAACCTCAGTAATAATTGACCGTGTAATTCCTAAAGGTATGCCTTCCTTGCCAGAGGGCAGGGCGGCCGCTCCCTGGTGGCTTTCCTGTTTTCTGGTCACCATCGGTTGTGGAACCCAGGAGAGACCAAGGTGATCAGCAGGGCCTGGAGCAATCAGCAAAGACCCTTCGAAGGCGGTGGGCTTTGGCTGGGCCTGAGACGGAGTTGGGGGAGGATTTGGAAGGCAGAGAGGATGGGTGTTTCAGCTGCCGAATTTGTTTCGACAGAGGTGGGAAGAGCCCTGGCTTGAAATCAGGAGAAGCAGGGTCTCAGCTCATCTCCTGGGTGGCTGGGGACTCATTATTTCCCCTTTTTGGACTTTAATCTTCCATCTGTAAAGGGAGGGGCTGGCTTCTGAAGGACTGAAATAATAGCACCCTGACGACTACTCCCTGCCTTATCCCACCAAACCTGAATACAGCCTCCAAATTGCTTTCAACACCACGTGTAGGCAGCCGCCGCCCCTTCGTAGGAGAAGGCCATTGAGATAAGTAAGCCCTGCTGATCCGGCCTGGCTGAGAGGAGCGTGTCTCAGGAGAAGCCAGGCCCTGACCCTGTGTGATTCGGGGAATGTGTGGCAGGAGGCCTGAGCTGGGGATCTGACAACAGCTGGTGGGGAAGAAACCCAGACCGAAGTAGAGAGCCCAGTGGCACCAAACACATTATCGCAGGGGACGCCTGGGTGGCCTAGACCAGGGGTGGCAGACTGAGGTGCCTCCAGGCCGGCAGTCAGTGGAAGTGAGAGAAATGTGCTGGGAGCAATAATGGGGAATGGTGAGGGCGTGGCGCCATCCCTATTATTAATAGCAATATTTATAATAATAGGGAGAAGGGAGAGCGCCGGGCCTGTCTAAAAGGAGTCTTCAGGCTGATTTTTTCCTTTCAGACAGACAGACTGTGACCGCTGACTCCTACCATCTTATTGGAGAAGCCAGCTCTAGAAGGTACCTAAGGCCACACTGTGAGCTTGGACTGTTGGTTCCATGTTACTGCTTTCTATGCAGTGTGGTCATGAAGCTTGAGAAACAAGATAAGGATGAACTAGGGAGGGACAAGCATGGACTGAAGCTTAGGTTTTCAAAAGATGTTCATTTCATTCCGGGTGCATATGGCAAGGGTCAAGGGTGACCTGTTTACTGTACTGTTAGTAATCACTCATGTGACTTTTAAAGAATGTACTCACTGGTTTAAGTTCCCCAAATCTTTGGAGATATCACTTTCCACTGGGAAAACTTCCCCATCTCATGATTAAACACACACACACACACACACACACACACACACACACCCTTCTTTCCTCACTATTAATCACCTTCTTCTATAATTGGTACTTAAAATGTCAAAGGAGAAGGAATTAATTAACAGGAGTATCCACTGCAGCAAAGCATGCTGCAAGGCTCTGGGACTGATTATAAAAAGCACTTCCTTAAATATTTTGAGTACTTTTGGGAATCACAAACCTCCCTTCTAATTGAAAGATCCTTAACTACACCCCAAGTTTTGGCTGGTGGCCAGGGGTGCAGAGCTGAGCGAGGCAGTGTCTGGAAATCCCTTCTTCACTACCCTAGGGAGACCTCCCTCCGACCAGGGATAGGTGGCTACAGAGGTTCAGGAGCAGCAGGGGTTCCAGGCTGAATCTGAGGGAGAGGAAGGGATCTGCCGTGACTGAGCGATTGTTGTGCATCAGGAGCTTTATACACGGTATTTCACAACAACCCCTGTAAGACAGCTGATGAGATTATCTCCACTTTACAGGTGAGGACATGGAGGCTCAGCGCGGTTGTGTTTCCCATGCCACACGGCTCCTTACGGAAGCACAAAGAATTCCCACTTAGGGTTGATTCTAAAGCTTTGCTTTTTCCCCGCAGTCCTGAAGTCCTATCCCCAGCTCTCCTCTGGACCGCTCCCCAACGCAGCCCCAAACTCAGTTTTGACAGCTAAACCTACAGCCAGGACCCGGGCATGGGAGGTGGAGCTAGGGAAGCACGACGCTCCGCCCTGGTTCTCGTGCCAACCAATGGCGATGAGGAACCCACAGTCTCCTGCCCAATCACCAGAGCTCCCCGCCCCCATCCTCCCCTGCTCTTTTCTCCCCTCCGCTTTCCCTTTGGCTCCACCGAGCTTGACACAGCGGAAAGTCCCTACAGTCCTCTCTGGGCCGGCAGCCATTGGAGGAAGGTCTGTCACTGGGTGACCCAATCAGAGCGTGCACAAGAACACAACTCTGGCTCTGATTGGCTGGCGCTTCGGTTGCCCCTCTGCCCCCGCTCGCTCCCTCCCCCTCATGTGGTTCGGAGGCGGGGCAGGTGGGGGCGGGCCCAGGTAGCAGGTTCGGCTGCGCGTGGGCTGCGAGTCGGAGGTAAATACCAGGGCGGTGGGTTTGGGTCGCTGGCGCTGGTCTCGTACGCAGGCTACCGAGGCAGGGGAAGGAACGACGCCCCGCCGCCCGAGGTGAGTGAGAGAGCAGGCGAGCGAACCTGCGAGCGGCGGGCAGCTGGGTACCCTGGGGCGCCCCTCCCCGGCCTCAGGGCGCCTCCAGCCGCCACCGAGGCCGTCGGGCCCTCTGCGCCAGCCCGTTAGGTGCCCCGGCCCCGAGCCGATCAGGACCGCGGGGAGCTGAGCCTGCTGACGTCAGCCCGGGCTTCCCCTCGTCCGGGTCTTACCCGCCCCCCACCCCACCCCGGGCCTTCCCGGGCTCCGAAGTGGTGGGAGCTTGGTCGCCACTGCCAGGACCCCCGAAGAAGACAGGACTTGGGGTGGGAGCAGCGCAAGAAACCCTCTCGCCCTTCGGCCCCGTATTTACAAATGGGGAAATCGAGGCACGGGCCTCCGGCCAGCTTCTGACCGCCCGGGTTGGCATCGGGAGCCCCAGGCTGTAACATCTCACCTGTGTGCGGTGGGGCGTATGGATCGATCTGTGTTGGGGTGCTTGTGGCTTCCGTCCAGGAAGAGCAGTCAGGGTTCAGGCCTCGTTAATGGCGTGTTCTGCTTTTTCTTTCAGTTTCCCCCTTTCTTGGGTGAGGATGGTTCTTACACTACCCGGAGTTCTTTAGTGTCAAGGTGCGCTCCGTTGAAGCAAGGTATACTTTCCTTTTCCTTCCTTTTGCTTTTCTTCGCGATCGTATTAGCCATCTGCTGATTGCGGCTCTCAGCTGGGTCAGCTGCCGGGTTATTCACACCCTTGGCATCTTTTCTATTCCACCCCCAGGCATTTGCATGTTTCAGAGTGCTTGTCATCTTGCAGCCACTGAGCCTTTCTGTCTGCCAGCCACCATCATCCCTGCCCCCTCCGCTCCCCCGGCTCCCTGGAAAGTTGTGCGGCACTTTCCCTTCCTTGCCTTTGAATTGGGGCTAATAGGGCTCTTAATAAGATTGTCCGTTTTGCAGCCACTGGCTCCCGGAGGGAAATCCGGGCCTTGAGAGAGGGTGTTCATTCAAGTTTTGATTTTCTGCACACCCCCTCATGTCCCAAGTAGACTGAATGGCCCGCAGAATGTAGCTGCCAGTTCCCCACTGGGTAGTGGGTGGATTTGAACTAGAACAGCATTAGGAGAAAATGATTTGCTGGAAGTCCTTGTGGAAGTTTACGTACTGTGCATGTTTGTAGCACCCAGAACATTTTCTAACGTTCGGTTACACATTTTTACAGTGTTCTTGTGAAGGAGCCTGCCTTTGGGTGGTGACTTTAGTGAAGAGCTGAGAAGGCCAGGGCCCCTGTTACATAAAACATCAAACACCCAGCAGCCATGACTGCTTGTGGTCTGCCCTGTCTACACTGTGATTTTGTTTGATTTGAGGATGCCGTTGTTACAAGATGAGAGAAAGGAGTAATTATCCTATTCATCACACTATTAGTATTTTGTCATACTATGATTTTAAGTTTGTGGAGGTCTTTTCAGTGGTTGTACAGAATTTATAGGCACCAGGCGTGGTGAGGGAATCTAGGACATGTGTCAGATGAACCTCAAACAAGTTGTTTTTGTAATTGAAACATTTCCTATTTCTTTTTTACATACGTAACAATGAAGTGTAAAAACTGACCATGACTTCATTATGAATTAGAATTATTATTTCCCAGAGAATTAGGTAAAACGCATTAAAATGCTTCCAACACTCAAGTCTTTTTCTCTTTTTGTCTTTTAACCTGGAAGAAGCTTTAATCACGTAAGCAGTGAAAATGAGGAAATGGAATTTTGGTTTGCACTGTTACCACTTGAGTTCTCCAAGCCATTCATTCATTTCCTGTGTCCTGAATGCCGCCAGACGGTCCGGCCCAGGTTTGGGGATCAGAAATACACAGATGAAGGACCTGGAGAATTCATAGCTTGGAAGTGTAGTGGCCATACTCACTCTGGTGAGACAGCAGACGTCCTTGTCTTTCTGTGATGAGTATGCAGGTGCGGAAGGCGGGTGCTTATAACCTTATAAATCCCACTTGTTTTAGGGACTGGATACTTGCCTGCTTGGGTCACAGGTTAACCCACGAGGGAAATTAAAGCTGCCTGTCTCTTTTCTCATCATTGAATCTCTGTACCTCTATTCTTTAGCTGTTTAGGACTGTAACTTGTTCTTTTAATGAGAGACGTTCTTTCTTAAAACAGTAATTATTCTCACTATCCAGAAGCATTTGAGATAAGTCCCATTGTTTTCTTTCTTTGGTATTCACACTGACCTTCCTACTTGTTTGCCATTTCTGTTGGGGACAGTAGTTTAGTACTGCACTTTTTACTCTGATTTAGAGAGCCTTCTGTGTGTCTAAGATCAAATCTAGATATCTCAGGAGTTGCAAACTGTTCTTCAATGAGATCTGCTGTGTTTTCTTTAATGAAGTTCTTTGAATGAATATAATGTAATAACTTGAGAATCCCAGTGACTGTATCTTCTGGGTAAGTTAATCATTGTCAGCATTATGTGGCTACTGCACTTCAGTTCCGCATATGACAAGTATATTATCTTTTAGCACGTGGAAGTCCTGACCTTTAATATTTTTTGTATAAAACTTCTTTATCATCTTTGTATTGCACCGAAAGGAAACTGATAAATATTTGTGTTTTCCAGCCCTCATCTTAATTTAATGACTGTGTTGTAATATAATTAAATTCTCCTTTACTTAGAAGTCAGACTATCATCACCAAGCTCAGATAACCAGATATATTTTCAAATCTTTGTGACCCTGAACTGTTTCTCATCTTGAATGTTGTCAAAAAAAAGACCTTCTATTCAGTATGGTTTTAGGGTTAAATACATTTTTGTATTCTAGTTGCTTGGTAATCTGCATTTAGTACTTATAGAAATCATCAGGGTATTTGTAATCATTCAGTTTTCCAGCCTGAAGTAAGTACAATGTTATCTAGATGACTCATTTGTGATACATTAATTCTCAAAGTGAAGTGTACTATTAGAGGCAATTTTTAAACAATTAGACCTGAAAGGCAGTAAGAGAACATAAATGAAGGCAGTCGTTATCTTACAAACTCTGTATTTTTCAGTGTCTAACACTGTGCTGAGTGCATGAAAATACTAAACAAACTGACTGACAAACCTTCTTGAGTGATAATCTCATTGCTAATGTGATTTAAATCTTTTCCACATAGTCTTGACTTAGTGTTTACTGCTCGGGTTTCTTAGGACTTGTTAACTGTTCTGGATATCCTGGGAAAGACAAATGTTGGCATTATATTCCTTCTAAAGACATAGAAAGTCTCTTTATTAACAGATTTCTGTTGTAATGCTGTTAGATTGAGATATTAAAGATCATTATCTTGTGTATCATCTTGTGTAATTCTAGACTAGAGCTATGAAGTTCCCCATTCAACTTTCTCTAATTATCAGTTGCAATGAAGAGAATCAATTTTTATTATGATAGTTTCTAACCTTTTCTTTCTTAATGTACTCTTTCTAAAAGAGGAAAGACCACATCCTTTTTAGTTTTGGATGATGCTTTTTAAGTATTTTATAACTTTTGCTTTGGCTGTTCTGATTTTCTAATGTAACCTGTTATGGAGTCTGAGATTACTCTTTCTGGTGCTATTGCAAGTTAGAAATAAGCTACTGCTTTTTGAGTTCAATGTAAAACATGCTTCTTGATAACTGTTGTTAAATTGCCCTCAACCTTTTTATAAACCCAAGTATTTGTATCCAGTTTTACCAGGGACTGTCTCTTAAGTGATTTCAGAAAACACTTTTGTAATCAAATTTATTTAAGACATAGTGTCCTAATGCAATCATGCAGTAATTTAGTTTTGTCTTGATAATAGTTCGTTAGCATTGGTGGTTTTATTTTAAATGGACATAAATTGTTCGGCTAGAGAACAATAAGAGTAGGTATTGTTGGCCTGTAATAATTATTCAGACTTAAGGAAGCTCTTAATTTTACCATCTGAAGGCATAATTTTCAGAAATTAAAAAAAAATTTCTTTTCAAAACAGAAGTGCTGTACTTAAAACAATCTTCTTGGCTCAAAATATTTTAAAAAGAGCAAAACAACCACTCGCGTGTCTTAGGAGTCCCTTTTTGACCACCTCAGCCTCCCGAGAGCCACCGAGTTCCTGTGCAGTATAACCAGGCGCATGTCTGCAGGGAAGCAGCCTGCTGGGCCCCCCAGAGACCCGCTCAGAATGGCTTTGTTTGCTTTTTTAAGCACACAAACCTATTTCATCACCGGGCTTCTCAGAAGTGACTAGAAGCGGTCAGTTGGAAGGCAGCAAGTGGTAAAAGAGGTCCGATGCCCACCGCAGGAAACCCCAGGCTATGGCTGATGGCCAGGGAGAACAAGGCTGTCCGTCCCCCGCCCCCGCCAGCAAGCCCGGGAGCCCAAAAGCCAAAGCCTTGCAGCAAAGGAACAGGCACCTTTGCCTCTTGAGAGTCACAGATAATCATGTGTGTTCATGTGGATAATTTGATGATCAAGAAAAATAGTGCTATTTCCTTGTGGAAAAATTTAAAAAGAATTTTAGTCAGAATTAACAAACACGTCATTTTGGTACCTTAACAGGGTAGAGGCAAGTTAAGGGCGCGGGGCGGCTGTTTGGGTCGCCCTCGTGGGGGTTTTGTTCACGTGGGGCCAGATCGGGGTGTCCACGGGCGTCTTATGTAAGTGGCAATTAGAAACGGGCACTGTTCCTGCCGAAGTAGACAGTGCCCTCAAGTGGAATTAAGACAAACACCCAATAAAAAAAGGGGAAAAAAATGGGCGAGAAGCACTTGATGTTCTCACGCTGCCCAGATAGTTCAATGACGTTGGCTTGAAGTCGGTTTGCAGGGGTGCAGGCCCGACCCCGTCTTGGGAAATCGGCAGGCCGCACTCTGGCTGGCAGGGGGCAGGCCTCTGAACTCGCCCCCTGCACACAGCATCGCCACCCGCCAGCACAGTGTCAAAGGGACGTCATCCTGTGTCTCGATTTGCCAGGTTATTTAATCATTAAGTTAGGTGATGAAACCACACATTTGGTTCTTTGGTTTTCGGAGTGTTTATTTTTTAATTCCAAGAACAAAACAGGTAAATATGATAGTGCTATCAACTGCCGCGGTTACCTACAATAATGGAAATGGATACCCCTCAGAGAAGGATGGAATAAGACCCCTGTTTAGAAACCAGATAGCCACATTCATGTGACAGAGAATAGGTAGGAACTATTATTTTCAGTAAGATGATAAAATAATGACTTAAAGTCTTAATTTGAATTAATGAAATTGAACACTTTTTAATTATCAATTAAAGCAGGGTTGAGTAGGCTGTTTTAATTGTGGAAGATGAGTTTTCTCAAAAAATGTTAAATGAAAATTTGAAACAAAATCATCATTTATGTGTTCCTTTCCGGTATACATGGTTAAAACTGTGGTATAAAAACATTTTCTATTTGGTGCTATCTGGCTATATTTATTTCCTTGTTAGGTAGTCCAAGTTTTGATAGCTCCGGAATTGATTATTTCAGATATCTTTAATATAATCAGATTTACCACATCTGATATTTGTGATTGTGAGAAATTAAATGATAGCTATAATTAATATGGTTAACATTTGCCTACTTAGGATGAAATGTACAAGACTAAGGAAACGAAACAGAGATAAAATGTTCCATTATCAAAATATGGCACAGAGACAAATGAAGTGTGGTTCGGAATGTGATTTTATGATAATTTATTGGTAAAAGATGTTTAAGGTAATAGTTACGATGGATAACTTTTTATTTAAACTAGATGTACATACAGAAATAATACCCTTTTTGATTTCTGTGGTTTTTGTCCAAATACAGCAGCTTATTTAAGTTAGGCAGGATTTATTTAAAAAGCTACTTTTTAAAGTTTAAAGATATGTACATAAGGTTATCTCTTACTTAGAATTTGATTTTACAAACTTTAGTGCCTTGAAAACATTATCATATTCTTTCTGAAGACACTTTACGACCGGTCTCCTTAATTAAATATGTAGAATTGCAGTAGGTACAAGTCATATATGTCTTTTAAACTTTTCAGATATTTTTTGGAAGTGTTTTCTTTGCGTGTGTGTTTTTACTAGTCGAATGAGATCCTGAAGCCACTGAGCTGAAAGCCTTTCCTTGCTTCTCCTGCAGGCGTTTGCTCTCCTGGCGTTTTGCAGCATGGACGTCAGCTTGCTGGGAACAGGCTCGGGGACTCTCAGAGGAGTTCTCTTCTGCGGTTTCACCACAAACGTCATAGTTCCCTTTTTTCTGAGTTAATATTTTGGAGTTAATGTCACAATGAGTTCAGGCTTATGGAGCCAAGAAAAAGCTGCTTCGCCCTACTGGGAAGAGCGGATTTTTTACTTGCTTCTCCAAGAATGCAGCGTCACAGACAAACAAACCCAGAAGCTCCTCAAAGTGCCCAAGGGGAGCATAGGGCAGTACGTGCAAGACCGCGCCCTGGGCCACTCCCGGGGTCCTTCTGCCAAGAGCAAGAAAAGTCAGATAGGATTAAAGATCCTGGAGCAGCCCCACGCAGTTCTCCTTGTGGATGAAAAGGACGTGGTAGAAATCAATGAGAAATTCACTGAGCTGCTCTTGGCGATCACCAACTGCGAGGAGAGGCTGAGCCTGTTCAAAAACAGGAGCAGACTAAGCAAAGGCCTCCAGATAGATGTGGGCTGCCCTGTGAAGGTCCAGCTGCGCCCCGGGGAGGAGAAGTTCCGGGGGGTCGTGCGCTTCCGGGGGCCCTTGTTAGCGGAAAGGACAGTGTCGGGGATATTCTTTGGAGTGGAATTGCTGGTAAGCTCAATGATCCGCTTTAGTGCGCACTGCGTGTTGTGCGCACGCATTTGTGTGTGTTGGTGTGGGTGCGTGTCTTTTTCCCCCCTTTAACTACCACATATTTTCCCAGAAACTTTCTGAAATTCTTTCCCTTTTATCATCCTGAGAACTTACTTGCTAGTGATAAACTGAGAAGACGAAATGAATACTGCATCGAAAGCTTCAAAAACTACCTCCAACAGTAGGAAATGCAAACAGATCATGTAATTATGGAAGAACTTGAGTATCTTCGAAGTTTTAACATTATCTATGTTAAAAAGGAACTTACTGATTGTAAACTAATCAATCACATCACAAAACTTAATTATCTTGTGGCATTATCCTCTGTAGCTTTCTCAATTTTTCTTACTGTGAGCTATTAGGGATGGAATTTGGATATAAGATTTTTTTTCTTAATAAGTTGCACCTCTTTAAACTTGCTGATAGTTGTTAATACATGTGAAAGTCACCTTGGAATTTATTTCTACTAAAAAGAGAACCAAGAGCCCACAGTAGATTTTCAAAATTAATATTAGGTCCCCAGAAGCTAAATGTCAGTTGCATTTTGACTTTTTTGTTGATCGTTGTTAATACATGTGAGAGTCACCTTGGAATTTATTTCTACTACAAAAAGAACCAAGAGCCCGCGATAGGTTTTCAAAGTTAATATTAATTCCCGAAAACTTAAATACCAGTTGCATTCTTGCAAGTAGAATTTCAGCCCTGGTTGGCTTCTCGATTTAATTTTCTGAAGCAGAGACGGCGAAACCACTGGGGATTCGCGAGCTCGCTGTGCCGGTTCGTGGCTGACCAATCGCTGACCAATCGCTGACCAATAGTTGACCAATAGACGAGTGACTGAACACGCTGCCTCTCTAAATGGGCTTCCTTGCCTGTAAAATGCTGACACTAGCACACAGCCCCGGGGGGTTTCAGGGGTGTGTGGCGGGGATTCAGGAGTCAGCGTGGTGCTGGCGCATGGCAGGTGCTCAACAAGTGGGGCTCATGTTACGGTTACCATGGAGTCAGATTTTCTTTTTATGACGAAATTATTGTTAAAGTGACAATGTAGAGTATAGCCTGGCTCCCTCACAGCGGAATTACGATTTGAAATTATCAAGTAGTTTTATTTCAGCATCAAATACAATTTCTTCCCTTAGTTTTTCAAAACACTCTAAATCCAATAATTATATTGTTATTGGATTATAATCCTAATAATTATATTGTTATTATATTGTTATTAATCATTACATTGTATTTCTTATATGTGTCATTTAGAATTTTGTTAGCGATTTCCCTGAAATCCCAGAGTGGATAATTTTTTCTTACGGGTCATTTTCTCCATCTATCTACCTATCTATCTATCTATCAATCAATCTTTTTTTTTTCTTTTAAAAAAAAAAACACTAGGAAGAAGGTCGCGGCCAAGGCTTCACTGATGGGGTGTATCAAGGGAAGCAGCTGTTCCAGTGTGAAGAAGACTGTGGAGTGTTCGTTGCGCTGGACAAGCTGGAGATCATGGGAGAGGAGGGCGCGGGGCTGGAGAGTGACTATGCAGGCCCGGGGGACGCGGCGACGGTGGAGCTGCCCCCTCTGGAAATAAACTCCAGGGTGTCTCTGAAGCTCGGAGAGACGGTAGAATCTGGAACAGTTATATTCTGCGATGTTTTGCCAGGAAAGGAAAGTTTAGGCTATTTTGTTGGTGTGGACATGGTAAGAAACTTCTGGATTATATTATCTTCGTGACTGTAGCTCTTAGTTCTGTCACCACCTTAGGTACCAGTTAAACACTTTGAATACGTATGTCAAGTGGACTCATTGGAAGTCGTTAAGGAACAGGTTCTGATTTATCTTCAGCAAAGGAACATTGCTCGGGGACAGGGGTCTACACAGAGAATTACATTCATTCTTTTTTTCGGTTCGAATAAACCAGAATATGTTTCCCATCTTTAAATTTGCCCCGTGATAGCTGACCAATAGAGGAAAAAAAAATATCAAACTATATTACATCATACCTTATTTTTCTTTATTTTGAAAAGGTTTATTTTTGTAATCTGCCTCTCTCTTTTCGTAATATTTTGAAAAATTTTATCGGCCGAGATGATTTTAACGAGTAGTGTCAAAATCCTTTACAGAAAATACCTGGATAGAGAAAAAGCACATCCCTGTAACAGGAAAGTCAGAATATTTTCTTAGGAGGTAACTCACTCAAAAATTTTCTTACCATGATGAAATATATTCCATGACATGAAACTCACCGTCTTACCCAGTTTTATGTCTACGGTGCAGTGGCGGTAAAGGGCGCGCACAGCGCTGTGTGGCCGGCGCGCTGTCCGTCTCCCGAACTCCCTCATCATCCCCAACTGCAGCTCTGTCCCCGCTCCACACGGACTCCTGTCGCTCCGCCAGGGTCCCCTTCGTAACCTCTGTTCTATTTTCTGTCTCTGGGAGTTTGCTGATTCTAAGTACCTCGTAGAAGTAGCATCATATTTGGTTTTTTGTTTTGGTTTTTTTCCATTCATTTTTAATGTTCCTTTACAATCATGTTTGTTAATAACGGATACGTTCCAGTGAGACCTGTGGCATTAGGAGAAGAAAAGGCTGAGAAGATTTTTATCACAGATTGAAAACACGGATGAGAATTTGTTAGGTGTAAAGAAGGAAATTCAGCCCTGGCCGGGTGGCTCAGCGGGTCGGAGCGTCATCCCGTGGACCAAAGAGTGGAGGGCTTGCCCCCCGCCCCGTCAGGGCGCGAACGGGAGGCAACCGGCCGCTGTTTCTCTCTCACGTCGGCGTTCCTCCCTGCCCTCCCCTCTTCATCTCTCTCTAAAACCAGTAAACATATTCTCAGGGGAGGATTTTAAAAAAAGAAGGCAACTCACCCTGAATTATTAAACACTACAATGAGTTAGGAGAGGATGTGAGAAATAGACTCTTGTACTCGGGATGTTCGTAGTGATTCTTTTATCTATTCGATATGCTTTTCGGTAGGGTATGAACGTTCGAGCATGAACTTCTTTTATCTTGTGCTTGGAAATTCAGGAAATTCTACTGATACCCATTAGGTACACCAACATCACAATCACGTTTAGACAAACGTTTACGGGGCATTCAGCACCTGAGACGTTAGAGCCCGAGTCAAAGCCGCGTGTCCCTCGGGAGAGCTAGCGGTTAAGCGCGCCTTCTACCGATTCTTCTTTAAATATGCAGCCTTAATTCAGACGAGAGATTGTGCCTGGGTGCAGGGAAGGTTGGAGGAAGAGGTCACTGGCGATAGTGTCCCCTTGCTCCGGGTCACTGGGGCCTCAGACTTGGCAGAAGCTGGTCAGGCCTTCCCTTCCCTCGATGATGGGCCCCGCGTTGCCGGGGGTGGGGGGGGCGGCTGCCTTGAGGTTGGCCGCGCCAGTGCCTTCCCGCCACCCCCCCCACCTCTGTCTGCCCTCCCGGTGCCGTGTGCGAGCATCCGCCCTCTAGGGCGTTCCTTGAAAGGAAAGTTCTGGCAAACGCAACATCGTTCGTCTCCTACTTCCAGTGGCATTTAGCGTGTTGTACACATTGGTGCTCAGGACAGCTGTCTGATTGGCCCCCCAAAAACAATTTAAAATCGCCCGCGTAAAACGTTTGGGAGAATCCTTTTATGGAAAATGCGGACTTTCACACTGACATTTTACTGAGGAGGGTGTGCCAGCTGATTCTGTCGCTTCCTTTCCAGGATAACCCCATCGGCAACTGGGACGGCCGGTTTGACGGCGTGCAGCTCTGCAGCTTTGCAAGCGTTGAGAGTACGATTCTCCTGCACATCAACGACATCATCCAAGGTGGGTTTGCCTCGTGTTTTATGTATTAATTAGGCCGAGCGTGAAAGATGTATTTTGGTATGAGGATGCAAATGTGAGCTTCAAGATGCAGTTTTGGAACTTGACTTTTATAAAATTAGGAGCTGTTAGTCAACAGGCTATCCTCTCTTACCCTGAAAGGAAAACAATACTTACAGATTCTTATTTTCAAAAGTATGTGAATGCGGGGTGGTGTTTATATGTTGCCGTTCACTTTTCCGTTCCCCGTCCACTCCAAGGGGTGGGGAGGCAGAAAATGCAATAAACTGCGGCCTCTTGGAGGGCGCGCCCGGTGTGAGGCTGTGAAGCAGGGGCTGGCCGTTCACTGTGACCTAACGTGCAGAAGAGAGGGGTCTTGCCGGCTGCACCGTGAGGTCCTGTCACTCTTGAGGCGGCACGACCTGTCAGGCTCTACCGCTCTGTAGCCAGAAACAGATCACTCAGCTTTCCATCTTAAAAAAAATCCTACGCAATCTTTTATTTCACCTCGAACAAATAGTGCCTGATGGCTGCTGTCAGCAAATTGATAAGTTCCTCTTGGCAGCGACACCCAGGGCGCCTTCCCTAGCTCTGAGTAGAATTCTGGTTCCAGGCTCGGCAACCGATAGTGTGTCACTCATAAACCAGCACAGGCGGCCAGAGCTGCCGGGGACCCTGAGCTCCGGGCAGCTTGGAGTACAATATCCGAGGGCTCGCGTGCGGGAGCCGCGAGTGCATGCGCCCCCGAGTCAGGTGACTTGTACTTTTCCCCATTCTTGACAAACTTAGAAGGTAGGTCTGCAGTATCCCCATGTCGCCGATGAGAACTGGGCCTTCGGTCAGGCCGGAGCGAGCCACGACGGGCGGGGGGCGAGGCCAGGCGCGTCGGGTCCTAGGGCTCCGCTCAGAACGACCTCCTCGCCCCAGGCCCGCGCGTGCACTCGAACGTGAAGACCTGCCTAGAAGAGCAAGCTTCTCAGCCTCACTTGTGCGCTTGAGAATACTGTTTCCATGGAGATGGATTTTGTCTCTAATTCTATAAAAGCTAAATTTTACTCGAACAAGAATGACAACGGAACAGAATGGTTTGTTTGCCTCCAGTGTTTTTCCATTATCGCTAATTTTGATGCAGAACACTTTCGAGTTCCCCACTGGTCATCTCAGGTCCTCGGTTTCTTTTCTGGTAAAAATGAAGGGACTAACGTTAGATGGTCCGGGAGACTCCATCCAGCCTGCATGGTTTGCCTTGCCTGTTTCCTGTTGGCTTGACAAGTAATAAGTGCTTGTTTTGCTGAGTTAGGAAATGCTTTCTGCTTTGGTATTCTTTAGTTTTCCAACAAAACTTCATTAACGTAGTTGGATGTACGGCATTCCAATGACAGCTGTATTTCAGTGTTACCTTGTAAAAGGCCGACATACTTTGCTTTTCTTGATTTCTTTAAAATCAGTTTTTACTTTCTCGTAAATTGGATTTGTAGGCATTTCTTTGCTTCTTTTTGGAGACATGGTTTGCGCTCAGGGGAAAGAAAGCACACGTATCTGCATATTTTATCTACTTATATTTACTTGACCTTTTTCAAGCCTCATTGTGAAAATAACATAATTTATGATCTGATAAATCAGACTACTTTTTAATGTTACAATAAATACCTATGTTTAAAAGGCAGTTTTGTAAAAGGCCACTCATCCATTCATTCATTCAAACACAGGAAGCTCTTACTCAGCTTCTTTTAGGCGTTGAGGCCGCTGTAGGAAGCAAGACGTTCCCCATGGAGCTTCCGTTCTAGCGAGTGACCGACCGCAGAGGATTTGTATCCTGAAAGGGAACTGAAGTTTTTACAAATGCTTTTTCTGTATCCACTGATATGATTAGGTGATATATACATATTTTAACTTGTTAATATGACATATTACATTGGTTGATTTTCAAACATGGAACCAGCTTTGCATCTTGGACTAATGTCCTCTTAGTCATAGTATATAACTCTTTTTATGTATTGCTGAATTCTATTTATTAATACAGTGTTAAGAATTTTTGTATTTACTTTCATGAGAGATATTCAGCTGTAGTTTTCTTTCTTTGCATTGTATGGTAGCTTTGTATGAGTGAGTTGGGAAGCCATGCTGAATTGAAATGAGCTGCGAAGTGTTTTTGCTTCTTCTTTTTTCTGGAACAGATTATGTAGGATTGATGTTAATTCTTTAAATTTTGGTAGAATTATCCAACTAAACCCTCTGAGTCTGAAAATTCCTTTTTGTGTATGTGAGCTTTAAAATTATAAATCCGTTTTCTTAATGATTATACAACTCTGCAACTATACATTTCATATTAGGTGAGTTGTGGTAACCTGAGTTTTCAAGGAGTTGGTCCACATCATCTAAATTGTCAACTTTATGTATGTTAGTGTTGCATTGTATTCATTCATTATTCTTTTGATGTCTGCACGATCTGTGATGATGTCTCCTGTTTCATTCCTGATAATTAATTTATGTCTTCTTTCTCTTATGTCAGTCTTGCTAGAGGTTTGTCAGTTTTATTGACCTTTCAAACAGTCTGTTACTCTGATTTCCTCCCTTGTTTTTCATTTTATTGATTTCTACTCATTATTTCCTTCCTTCTCCTTGCTTCAGGCTCTTTTTGCTTTTCTTTATCTAGGTCCTTCATGTGGGAGCTTAGATTATTGATTTGGAATGTTCCCTTTTTTAAATGTAAGCATTTAGTACTGTAGATTGCCCACTTAGCATTACTTTAGCTGTGTCCCAAGCATTTTGATAGGTTGTATTTTTATTTTCAACTAGTTCAGTATATTTTTTGATTAACCTTGAGGCTTCTTTTTTTAACCCATGGGCTATGTAGAAGTATGTTGTTTAGTTTCCAAGTGTTTGAAAATTTTCCTGTTATCTTTCTGTATTTTTTCTAGTCTTGTTTTTATTATGGTCAGAAAATACACTGTGCATGATTTCAAATATTTTACATTTGTTTTATGCCCCAGCCTGGTATATGATCTAATCTGGTGTATGTTCCATTGGCACTTGAAAAGAATGTGTGTTCTGTTATTTGGTGGTATGTTCTATAAATACGAATTACATTTTCTTGGTTAATGGAGACGTTCAGTTTTTCTATATCCTTGTTACTTTTTGTCTACTTGTTCTTTCAATTGTAAACAGTGATATTGAAGTCTCCAACTATAATTGTAGTGTAAGTCCATTTTTTTCTTTCATTTCTGTCAGTTTTTGATTCACATATTTTGGAACTCTTTTGTTTGGCACATGTACGTTTAGGATTGTTATATCTTCTTGGTGGATGACCCTTTCTTATTTTTATAATGTCCTATCTGTAGCTAGTAATTTTATTTGCTCTGAAATCTACTGTATAATATATTAATATATCTACTATTGCTATTTTTGTATTAATATTTACATGATATATTGTTTCCAACCTTTTATACTGAACATGCTATATTATTATATTTGAAGTGAGTTTCTTACAGAGAAAATGTGTTTGGATCATGTTTTTAAATCTACTCTGCCAATCTCTGTCTTTTAATTGTTCTCTTTATACAATTTACATTTAATGTAACTATTGGTGTTCAGGACTTAAATCTAACATTCTGTATTCTCATTGGTTTCTCTCTCCTTAATTTCTCTATTTTTTTCCCCTGCCTTCTTCTAGGTTACTTGAACATTATTTAGAACCCATTCTGATTTATCTGTAGTATTTTTGAACCTATTTCTTTATATAGCTTTTTTAGTAATTGCTATAGATATTACATTATATATACCAATCTAATCATAGTTTACTGGTGACATGATTTCTTACCAGTTTGAATTAAGTGTAGAAACCATACCTCCTTCCTTATTATCCCTTTACTCTTTCCACTTCTGCTGTCATCGTCTTAAATATTTCCCTGACTTACATTTAGAACCACATTAGTGTTATAATTTTTGCTTCAGCTAAACATAATTTGGAAACTTGATGGAAGAAGGAAAGCCTACTGTATTTAATCATATTTTTCCCTTTCTGTTGTTCTTTCTTCCTTTCTAATTTTCCAGGATTCCTTTTTTTGACCATTTCCTTTTCCTTTAGAGGACTTCCTTTGGCCATTCTTTTAGGGTAGACCTGCAGGTGACAGATTATGTTAGTTTTCCTTCCTCTGCGAGAACGTCTTTATCTGCATGGAATTCTGTAGGAATGTCCTAGTCCTCAGAACTGGTATTCGATCTCCCCTCAGACAAAGTCTCTGGCAGGAGACGACCATTGCCCCCAACTGCAGTGCCCCCCATTTTCCTAGTCTGGGGCCCCCCACCCTCTTCAGGAGAACGGTCACCACCGGCCGGCTCATCTGCTTGGCCCCCGGTGCTGCCCGGCTGCCTTAGTGAGCACCCTTTGCTGCCTTTGTTGCACTGCTCACTAGCTCTGTAGTGTACACAGGTTACGGCGCACACATGCATACCTTTTAAAAAGGGACGGACGTACAGCAAATAGGGAAAGTAGTCTTCTTTAGTCAATTTATATGCTATAATTTGGGAGCTTTTTTCAGTGACTAAGAAGTTTTGCCCTCCATAGTAGCTCTCATATGTGATATTTGGAGATATTTGAGTGGTAATATCATAAAAGTATTAGTAAATAGCATTTTTTTTTTTTGTTATACCACTTGGTTAACCTCATGGTCATTTAGTGTAATTTCTAAATTAAAATAATATTTTATTTAATCATATTCTGAGACATTTTACATACAGTTTAACATGCATTCTCTTCCCCTAGCCATGGAGAAAAGTTACCAAGCATCGTTTAGATATAATTTAGTGTTATTTCTTTTTTCTTAAAAAAATGGCTTCTCCTTGTATTTAAAACGTAAAATTGTCCTATTTTTTCCTTTCTGTTCTTCAAAACCCACTGTGGGTGCTATCGTGTTTATGATGCACAGCTTTACCAGGTACGGCCCCAAGCGTCATGTGGGACTCCGCACTGCACAGGTGTGTGGTTGGACTCTGCAGGGGAAAAGCTTCCCCAACTGACCTTTCTGCACTTGCTCGATCAGTATTGGTGAATATCGTTAGAAAATCACGGGCCCCTGAAGTTTAGAGTCATCTTTGTATCAAGTTTGCCAAAGCTATTCTGCCTATATTTCTAAAAGAAGTTTTGAGTGTTTTATTCAAAAATATTAGTGAGATTTGCCTCTTTCTCTGCCTTATTAATCAACATATAGTTCTCTGTGTCTTTCCTATTTATATGTACGTTTGCGTAGACATTTGTGTTATTGATGTGTGTGTGTTTTTAAAAATGGACACATATTTTTAACCAGACTTTTTCCAAAGTGTGTTCCATGGGTTACATTAATCCAGGATGCTAAGTAGACTGGTTCAAAAAATGTTACCAAGTAAGTTAACCATGTCCCTGTTTGAGAGAGTCAAGGTGCACATGAGCATGTTAAAGGCCCCGCTGTTATTCCGTAAAGAAGTCTGTTTGCCGTTGCTCATCTCAGCATCTTCTAGGGATGTCCGAGTGCGGAACACTGGAACACACGGGGCGTCAGGGGACACTGGTTTGGGGAATCCTGCAGGGAACAGGGAAACCCGAGTGAGGTTTCCTTGGTAGCGTTTTAACACATGAAATAAAATTGACTGAAGGCGACTCTATCTTCAAGAAGTTAAAGTGTTTAGCTGATTTGTATTAGCTTGCAGAAATTCTGTTTTGAAACACAGCATTGACTGCAATACTTTCGGTAGCCTTTAAGAATTTGTAAAACTACCGTGAAAGGACTGCTTTTTTTTGTTGGAAGGAGATTTTTGTGGTTGAGATTGTCATCATTTGCTCGACTGTTTTTCTTCCATAAGAGTTTGCCTTTATCTTTAAAGAACGTGTTTACTGTTTCAGACAGCGTGACCCAGGAAAGGAGGCCTCCCAAGCTCGCCTTTGCCTCCAGAGGTATTGGGGACAAAGGTTCGTCCAGTCACAATAAACCAAAGGTTACAGGTACGGACTGATCGAGCGAGCTCAGTTCTAGCTTAACTCACGTGACAGCAGGTTTCCCGTAGCATTGAGAGAAGACCCAAGGTATTACGCCTTCAAGGACAAGTGGGTTTTCTTCTTTCAAACAGGTTTAATAGTTTACTAAAATTTTTTATAGATGATGTTGCTCAAGCCAAGAGTTCCCAGCCTTTCTTGTTGATGAAAAGTGCCTCGTGAGGACCCGTGTCTTTTGCTGGTCCCTAGCACCTGGTTCTTGGAACTCTGTTTGGGACATCTGTGTATTGTTTAGAGTTGCAACTGCACAACCTGGTCTTACAGGGTGGGCAAAAGTAGGTTTATAGTTGGAAGTACGCAAAACACAGCGTTTATTCTTGTATGTTTATTATTACTGTATTATTTTCCACATGAACAGCCGTATACCTGCTGTTGCCCCAGCCTATATATGGCTAGTGTTACACAGGATAAAGTGTACTAGAGAGTATGTGGAGTTCACAGACTAGATGTGGCACAAATTAAATTCCAAACTGCTAGGCAAAAATTTTTGTCCCTTTTCCAGGAACTCCCCAAAATAGATGCAAAGTTCTTAGCTTTTTTTTTTTTTTTTTTTGTTAGCTCCCACAGATTTCATAGATTTATAGGATGGTAGTTATATAAGCTAAACAGCTCATTAAAAAAGCTGTAAGAATTTTTGTTAACTTAGATGTGGGCTAGAGAAGAGTATTTTTTCCTCCGTCATCTAGTGAACAAAAAATGTTTCAACTCATTTAAAAGGAAATTGTACTTTAGAAATATTTTATGTGGCACCAGACCCTGGGAGACTTAGAATTAAATAGAATATATAGGTAATAGCACTTCCTATAGATCTGTCGTAGGTAAGGTAGCTCAAACATGCTACTTTCACTTAAATATAAGTAGCCGCAATATTGTCTCAAGACATGGGTGTTCCTTATGTTTAGCAGACCTTAGCTGTAGGTACAAAGTGTAGAGCCGTCTGCTGTGAATGGAAAGGAGACTCAGGTGACTGCATGGGCTCTGGAGACCCTGTTACCTGAGTCCACGGCGTGTCCTCCTTGGACCAAGTGCAGGCAGTGTCTTGAGACGTCTGTGACGTAGCGGCACCATCTCTGTTTTACATTTAAGGAGTCTAAGACCTAAGAAATGATACTGTTGCCTTTTCCCAAGGCCATGAAGAAGCTAAGCAAGGAATTTGGTGGTCCACAGCTCTAAACTGTTTAAACGGCCCTGGCTGGTGTGGCTCAGTGGAGTGCGTGCCAACCTGAGAACCAAAGGGTCACCAGTTCGATTCCTGGTCAGGGCACAGGCCTGGGTTGTGGGCCAGGTCCCCAGTGGGGGGTGCATGAGAGGCACCACACATGGGTATCTCTCTCCCTCTCTTTCTCCCTTCTTTCCCTTCTCTCTAAAAATAAATATTTCAAAATAAAATAAAATGTTTAAACATTAAATTTTTAAAACTGAACTTGGTCACTAATTTTTATATGATATTTGAAGATTACCTCCTTCTGGGAGCAACTCTTTTAAAATAATAGGTTAAATTTGTGAACCCACAGGTTTGGCAAGTGAAATTGGGGAATGGTGATTTTGACATTAGGAAATAAGCCATAGTGCATGAAATGATTACAATTTTTTTTTTATAAAAATAGTTTGTGTGTGTGTGTGGTTTTCTTTAATCTTTCTCCTTTCCCCTCCTATATTAAGTCTCGGAAGAATATTTTTGGCATTGCTAAAATGGCTACTGAAGTTTTAAAAGCTGAAGACACTAATAAAATACAGTGTGTCCGTGGATGTCTGTTGGTTATGTGAATAGTTGTTGATATCATATGCATATTAATTTCTCTTATAAAAAACTTCCACAGCATATTGACTTTATTTTTAAAAGGAACTTTTCTTGTTTCATAGGATCTACCTCAGACCCTGGAAGTAGAAGCAGATCTGAGTTATATTATAACGTAAATGGGTCTTCTGTTGACTCACAGCCGCAATCCAAATCAAAAAATTCGTGGTACCTTGATGAAGGTAATCTATAACTATAGCGTTCTTTCTACTGAACCTCTCTATTTAACACATCAGAGAAAAATGGCTTTTTTACAAATGTGTAGTTTTGGGAAATAGAAAGAGCAGACCATTCTTTATTAATGTTGCCAAACTGAAATATTGCACACAATTTGAATTGCATCGCTGTGATCAATAAAAAATTTGAAAATACATTAGCAGCTCACATTCTTGGCCTAACCGATCTGTTGTGGGTAGAAGACCACTCGAATCAAAGAACCATTTAAAGACTTTTCTGCCTGGGTCTGTATCTCTTGGAAATGCTCCCTTTGAGAAAGTCTACCTTCCCTTGGTTCTGGGACACCATGTTCTTCTGGTTTAGTCTCATCTTCCTTCGTCTGTCAGTGCATGTTTTTTGGATATTGAACAATGTGCCAGACAGTCTCTTAGGCATGGAGGTCACACGGTGAGAGAAACAGACATGGTCCTTGCCTTTCTGTGTTCATGGTCCATTTGTCAAAATAACTTTAATCCAGCGATCACAGAAACAGATGCAGAATTGTGATGAGTACAAGAAGGTATTGAGTCTGTGGCAGTGAATTAAAGGGAGATCTTACTTAGGGGGCTCGGGGGTGTCTCTCTGAGGAGATGACATGAGCTTGGCTTTAGCGGGGGAGTGGGAGAGGCGTGAAAGGGGACAGAAGGGCCCTTTAGGCGGAGGCAGCAGCAGGTGGGAAGGCCCATGAGGACGCGCGGCCAGTGCTGCCAGGGACTGAGACAAGCCAGAGCGAGAGACGCGCATCGCATTCGACGGGAAGGGCAAACAGGGCCAGGGTGCGGGGGGCCGGGCGCCCTGTTAAAGGCAGGGGAGCGCGGGAGGGGTGGCAGCAGGCGTTACGTGACCAGGTTTCCCTTTGGAAAGGAGCGTCCCTGCTGCGGGGTGGACAGCGGATTGGAGCGGGGAGGGGGGCATGTGAATGCAAGGGCACCGCTGACGGCCGGGGGCTCAGCCCCGGGTGGCAGTAGCCGGGACGGGGCTTGTCGGGGAAGAGATGGGGAGAACTGGGTGGCTCTGAGATATTTGGGAGGTGCGGTGACAGGACTCTCAGACAGGTTGGGGGAGAGAGCGGAGGGAGAAGGCTGTCACGCTGATTCCTGACTTGTCGGCTCGCGAACGTACATGATTGTGCAGAAGGGGACGGGCTGCTTTTGAATGTGTTGAGTTGGAGGGGCCGTGTACACACTTCCTGGAGGTGAGCTCTCACGCAGGCCGTTGGAGATACAGGTGTGGAGGCCAGAGGGGAGGCGCGAGCTGGAGACATGCAGGGGCGGGCTCTCTTCGTACGTGTGGCGGGTCACGTCCCGTGAACAGGAGCATCTGAGGAGGCAGCGGGGACAGGGGCTGTGGCTTGAGGCTGAGCCTAGAGGAACTTACTGGCTGGACTTGTCATTGTCTTCGCTCTCTCCTTGAGCTTTTGTCATCTTTAATTTGGTATTTATCATTCTCTTGGTTTTCATTAGAGCTTTTTAAGTTTCAATAGGTAAACAGCATACTCTTAGGTGTGCATATTTTGAGCTGTATATACGAGGGGTTGGACTATATGTATGTCATATAATGTCCTCCCTCAACATTATGTTCCTAAGTTTCATGCAGGCTCTATGGCATGACTGTAATTTTTTCATTGCTGTATAGTCTTCCATTCCAGTCCTTTGCTGTGAAATATGTGAATTTACCACAATGTAATTACCCATTCAACCACTGATAGACATTCAGATTGGCTTCCTTTTCCTGCTGTTGGGAGCAGCTCTGAAACTGACGTCTCACGCCTGTCCGGGGTCTGTAACCGGGAGCAGAGCGCTGGGTCGTGGGCTGTGCACGCCTGCCTTTACCGGTTCCCGGGGCAGTCACACCGGCCCCCGCGCCCGTCGGCATCGCGCCAGGGCATCGCTGTTCCTGTCTTCCCAGCAGTTATGCTCTAAGACCTTTAACTTCTGAAATGATACCTCATGTTGGTTTTGACATTCTTTGTTCTATTAACTAGTAAGGGCAAGAATCTTCATCCACTCTGTGGTGGTTTAGGTTTCTTCTTTAGTGAGTTGCCTTTTCAAGCCTTTTGTCCATTTTTTTCTACTTTAAAAAAAATCTTTTTCTTACTGATTTATGGACCTTTTTCAGACTCTAATCCTCTGTCAGATTCAAGGGTGGAAGTAATTTCTTCCTGCTTGTGGTTCATATTTTCACTCTTACTAGGATGCTTTTTAATGACCAAATAGCTCTTAATTTTCATATGCTCATATTCGCCAGTCTTTTCCTTTATTGTTTGTATACTCACGTGTAAGAGCTTTCTCTCTCTCCTAAAGTCATGGAGAACGTTCCTCTGTGTTGTCTTCCCAGCAGTTGTAGTTTTGCCTTCCACGTGTGTTCCGGAGCACCGGGCAGTGGCTCTGCGTGGTGTGTGGGTGACTGACGACCTCCACGCTGCCTCTGAAGGAGGTCGCTCCCTCCCCACCGACCCGCAGGGCCAGCCTGGCCGCTGTGCTGGCCTCGCTCCTCTTTATTGTGTGTTTGGTTTCTCTTTCCTTAATTTCCGTTTTTCTGTTTGTTCTTCCCCCTTGGTTACTTTTCTGTTCTTCTAACTTAAGTTGTACGCTAAGTTCATTACTATTACCTTTCTTTCTTTCTAATATAAACTGTTAAGTCTAGACGTTTTCTTTACAGGTACTACTTTAGCCATGCTCCACAAATGTTTGTTTTTTCTCTCTTTTTTTCTTGATTTAAAAAATTTACATCGGCATTTTTTTCTTCGATCCACTTGTTATTTAGAAGCGTCTTTCTTAACTTTTTTTGGTATCTTTTGGGGTGGTTTCTAACTTCATTATGGACAAAGAATAGAACCTATACAATACTAATCAATAACGGATGCTCTTTGGTGTGGACAGTTGGGCGCCGTTTACTGAGGCAGAAGATGTGGAGGCTGTGGGGGCGGCGAGAGCGAAGAACCCCGGTTTGCAGGCGCCAGGCTTGTGGTGCTTGCGCGACCCCTGCCAGAGGGGTCAGGCGGGCAGCTGGGCTGCATGTGCATGTTAATCTTTAGGGCTGTAGGGCATATTCAGTATAATCGAATGAATTTCGCTAACAAAGAATAACTGTTTATAGTTGCCGAAGACCCTGCAAAGTCGCTCACAGAGCTGTCTCCAGATTTCGGACAAGCTTCGCCGCCCCCGCAGGCTCCATCCGCGAACTCATTGTCCAGCGAGAACAGATTTCACTCTTTACCGTTCAGCCTGACAAAGACGCCCAGCACCAACGGGAGCATCGGCCACAGCCCGCTCTCCCTGTCTGTCCAGTCTGTGATGGGGGAGCTGAACAACGCCCCCGTCCAGGACAGCCCGCCCTTGGCCGCGTCGCCCGGGAGCTCGCACGGCCTGGAGGTGGGCTCGCTGGCTGAAGTCAAGGAGAACCCCCCTTTCTATGGGGTGATCCGCTGGATCGGCCAGCCGCCGGGACTCAACGAAGTGCTGGCCGGGCTGGAACTGGTAACTCCATTTAACCTAAGAATTGCTCTTTGCTAGGTGGGATTTTGTACAGATTTTCCCCTTTTACGTGCTTTTTGGTGAAATGCTACACTTGTCAGAAAAATCATCACTCGAGAACAATTGTATTGCCATGTTGCGTGGCTTCCTCTGCCACCATCGAGCATCTGATCACTTGTTCCTGTGTGGCGGTTGGTCAGCGTCCAAGGAATGACAATAGTTTAGGCTAATATGTTTGGGCTCATTATATTAAGCAGAATACACAGTGAGGAAAGCCAGTCTGTTACAGCTTTTCTTTTGCTTTCTCAGCCTCCCTCCCCCAGTCAGTTCTAATGTTTATATTATTGACTTTAAGATTAATTACCACTTTAAGAAATCTTTCGGGATCTTTGCTAGAAGGAGAGAGTTTCCCTTTGGAGATTAGGAAAATATATTGTTTGACATTTCATAACGAGGAGAGGAGAATTTGAGTACATTTAGCTTTTATGTAAATATGCTTCCTGTTTTATTTGTTTGCATGCTAGTGAATGCTATTTTTGGGGGTCGGTAAGATGAATAGCCTCTTCTACCCGCCCCCTCCCTCCCCTTCCCCCAGTTTTAATACTTTTGGAAAAGGAGCAGGAGAGTGAGTTAACCAGGGAAGAGTCAAGCATGTATTCTAGAGGGCAATCCATCGAGAACGTAGCACTGGATTAAGGAGTTGATTTCTTAAATCATTAGCTGTGGACTAAAATGCTGACCAGCCAACTCCTCAGGCCTGAGGGAGCTCTCAGTACAGGTGGGATGCGGGAATTCGGAGGCAGGATAAACCCAAAACAAGCCTCAGCTCTTTGCACACCGTCTTCGCAAGAAGCAGAGTGACCCATGGGGACACCACTCTCTTCCAGGAGGACGAATGTGCTGGCTGCACGGACGGGACCTTCCGGGGCACCCGCTACTTCACCTGCGCCCTGAAGAAGGCGCTCTTCGTCAAACTGAAGAGCTGCCGGCCCGACTCGAGGTTCGCCTCCCTGCAGCCGGTTTCCAATCAGATCGAGCGCTGTAACTCGCTAGGTATGTGCCCGCCTTTACTGACTATTGGTCTGGAGGGGCTCCAGCTCTGACCTCAGGCCGCGCGGCAGGAGGTGGCCGTGACCGTTTCACTGCGTCCCTTGTGGTCATCAAGCTTTTAAATCCGTCAGAGTTGTTACTTGGTGTATAAGAAAGTTTCAGTTATCCTAAGAGGGGACATTTAAAAAAGATCTTAGGAAAACGTGTTGGAGACTTAAGAAGTGAAAATCAGCGGGATTGATTTTTCTCTTCCTGTTGGTTATAGACATTTAATTTGCAGCAGCACGAGGGGCAGACGGGCGGCCTTTCTGGGCACCGATGTCCCTCTCAGCGTGTCGTTCGGTGGAGACAGCGAGTGGGTGTCACCAGGAATGGCCTCCCTGTCTGTGCGCCAAGCGCAGCCACAGGCGCATTTATCGAGCGGCTGGCGTTGCTGGAAGATGTAGCTCAGGCTGCCCGGCGCGGGACGGGGCTCGGAGCTCGTCACTTGGGTCGGGCCAGGCTCTCGGTCCTGTCCCCGCCTTCTGAATGACGGTGGCGAAGCATTTCGAGGGTTAAATAGGTGTGACAAGGAAAACCATCCTTACGGAAAACCCTTTTCAGTGCAGTTGCAATAGTCCTTTGGAATTTTTTTCCAGTTTGAAAATGAAACATCTTCAAACAAATAGTAAAACAGTTGGGGAAAAATCCTTTGCTTGGCAGGTGCTTTTTTACATTGATTACTTAGTATTCTGAAGTGCTTTCTGTGTTGTGGAGGAGGTGAGGTTGGAAATGCACAGCGGCATTTTTTACAAGCCAAGCTGAATAGCAGTCAAAACCTACCCTTAACTTAGCTTTCAGTTGAGAAAATAACACTTTGACTCACAAAGCAAAAACTATTTTAAGTGAGGACATACGCAGGTACGCTTGTTGTCATAGTTTAAAAGAATTATTTTTTTTTCTCTTCAGCCTTTGGAGGCTACTTAAGTGAAGTAGTGGAAGAAAATACTCCACCAAAAATGGAAAAAGAAGGTTTGGAGATAATGATTGGAAAGAAGAAAGGTATCCAGGGTCATTACAACTCTTGTTACTTAGACTCGACCTTATTCTGGTAAGTTTAAAATGAGAGCGGGAGGACTGCAGGGTCCCGGAGGCAGGGACGCACACACGTGCGCGTGTCTATGTGAGTGGGAGGGCGGGGAGAGAGAGAGAGAGATTGCTAACTACCTCTGAGTAGCGCCGCTGGGTGTTTGGGGGCCAGGAAAGAAAGGGAGGTGCGCATTCCATTGTAACTCCTTGGAAGCTGTCAGTGGTTGTCTCCTGTGCCTGTTTCCAAAAGATTAGCATAAGACGTAATGCAGTGAACGATGGCTCGGAGGCGAATGACGGTGTCCCAGGCGGGGTAGCCCTCCGGAGGGGGCGCGGGCCGCCCCGGGCCTGTGAGAGGAGGCGCGGGGTCTCTGTGCGCACCCGCAGCGGGCCACTGGCTGGGCGTGTGCAGCGGTTTCATTAGGTGGAGGCCATCCTAGGGTGACTCTACTTTAAAGCATGACTGTCAGTAGAAGCTCAGCTGCCCTCGTGTGTGTAGTTTGTTGCCAAGCGGCACAGCCTGGACGGCGAGCGTACTGCCAGGGACTCCGACGGCAGCCTGCCCGCTCTCCGCAGCCAGGGCAGGGCAGGGCAGCTGGGGAGTTAATAGGGCGCTGAAACTTTAAAGGTAGGAGGAAGAAATAAAATGGTGGGCCATTTTGGGGGGCAGAGTACTTTGTCTCTCAGATGTGTTGACAGAAGCAAGAATTGATATAATATTCTTTAGATTTCCTGATAAAAAAATCTCTATTAGCCAAATGTTGTTTTTCTCTGATACCAGCACGTTACTGCTATCAATCAGTCACAGAGGCGTGGCATTGAAAGAAATTCAGGGCTCTGCACGGGCCGCGGGCAGGCACTCGGGGTCGCGGGCCCCCTTTCGCTTTTTGCAAGGCTGCTTTCCCAGTGTACTGAAGGCGTGATTCATCCGTCACCATGGCTGGTCTGCCGTTGGCCTTCTTGATGCTTGCTCTCCTCTTAACCTGGAAGGGTCTCCAGGCGCTGATGCCTGAACCCTGGGAAGCTTGCCAGGGTCGTGGGATCCTGTCATGGTGGAAAACACAACGATGTATGTTATTTGCTCTCCAGCATTTGTGCGTTTTCTCTTTGCATCCTTTCTAGTATGTGCTTCTCAAGAAAAAGGAAGGAAAATTTACATATATGTATATGTGTGTGTGTATCATATATCATGGGAAAAATATTGTTTCTTTTGCAGCTTGTTTGCTTTTAGTTCTGTTCTGGACACTGTGTTACTTCGACCCAAAGAAAAGAACGATGTAGAATATTATAGTGAGACTCAAGAGCTACTGAGGACAGAAATCGTTAATCCTCTGAGAATGTGAGTAGAAGACGTAGAGCCGCGTGAGTGCTAGGTGCTCCGTACACGTTGGCACAGAGAGTGAAGGAGCAAGTGAACAGTCAATATGAAAAATGGCTCTAAGGTCAGCCAGTTCGGACGGGCCCTTGTAAGCCCATGGTGGCCTCTAACATCTCTTCTGAAGCCATTGTTAGAATAAGAATCTTGTCACGGCTGATGGGAAACGTATTGAATGTCCCCTATGTGCAGGCAAAGATGAGAGGAAGTGTCCTAATTCTGAGGCCCGGTTTGAGTGCAGATTTTAGATTTCCAGCGTCTTGTCCTGCCCCTGCCCTTCCCCCGGGGGCCGGTTCATCTGTCAGTGCGGCAGCGAGACAACTCTCTCTCACAAAGCTGTGCGTTCTGTTCTATAAAGGTAGTTTTAATTTCTTAAGCAAAAAGAATTAAAAAACCAGTCATCATGAATTTAAAACAGTTTTTCTTGTATCAGCATGGGATAGTTTTAGGGCGTAATGGTACCTGGGATAAGTCTGATTCTAGATTCTTAATTTTCCAGCCCTCAAGAAGAAGCCTATAATTGTATCTTTCAAAATAATTGTCTAGCCTATTAATTTATGCTATGCTAAAATTACATAAGAAATGTGTGATTATCAAAATATTAATTTAATTATCTGTCAGTATTCACTCATATTTTTTACTAACATAGATACGGATATGTGTGTGCAACAAAGATTATGAAACTAAGGAAAATACTTGAAAAAGTGAAGGCTGCATCAGGATTTACCTCTGAAGAAAAAGGTGACTATTCTACCTTTCAAGATATGCACTCAAAACAACTGAGAGCACATGCTAAGTGACTGGCTGAAATGTCTGCCCATGTAGTTTTGGGACTTTGTTTTAAAGTAGACACTTCCGCGTGATGTACAATTCCCCCCTTTTATTAAAGTGCTGCCTGTCTTCTAAAAGGGAGCGATGATCTGGAATCAGAGCTCCGTTCAGAAACCGGCCGGCCCTCGTGCGGCCACCGGGTGGCTAGGGGGCGCGCCCCTTCCCACCCGCAGCATCAGTCCCTCTCTCCCCACGTGGCGGAGGCCGCAAGGCAGCACCCACACTGTCCCGCTGAGATGTCCTTGTCACGGAGGAATTAAATTTGTGGTCAGGGTCCGTGATTTAATCGATTCTCAGGGAAGGGATTTACGCTTCAGAGGCCCCTGACTCGGAGCGCGTGGCCAGCATGTTGTGACTAGCTGTGATGTCTAGAGGCTCCCGAATGATTTAACTATCAGGAAAAGACTAGGTCGTGCTTCAGGCTTCATTTCACTTATCGTGAGCCCCTCAAAATAAAGTTATTTTGCTCTGTGTGAATTATTATACCTTTTCAAGTGCAATAGAGTTATAACAAAATTAGTACTTAATACTTTATCGCCTTTGTATTTTAGTTAGGGAAACTTGAGAAACTTATTTCAATGCTTTTCATTGAAATAAGGTTGATTATGAAATTGAATTCAGTAGAGGAATATGATTGTTATTTAAAAAATAGAATGATTTATAGGGTTTGTCTTTGACTTATTTGCTTTTTTATTTTCTCCTAGATCCTGAAGAATTCTTGAATATCTTGTTTCATGATATTTTAAGGGTGGAACCGTTGTTAAAAATAAGGTAACTTTTAAATTTTTAGAGAAACATTGGAAAAGAAAGAGCCCCCGTCGCCAGGCCGCCATCCCGTGGACGCGAACTCTGCGGGGTCACTTAGCGCTGCGTCTGTTTCGGGTCTTCGTGTGCTAGGCCCCCGCAGTGCAGATTAACCCTGGTCACTGTCCCCTCTCTGGTGTTGTGCTTAACTCGGGGGACGGAGCCAGTGTGGATTTGTGCTTTTAATTTTAGCCCTAGGAATACATACCATTGCAAATCATTTTCTTACAAAACTACATAGAAATATTTTGTAATTTAAATTAGTGAACCCGTGTAAGAGAATCTTATTCTAAGCTAATCATACAGTGAGAACGCTGATTTTGAGTCCTCACCCCTCAATTAATGAGCCCTCTTACTCCCAGCTTTGTAGCGTGGTCCCTTTCTCTCCATCTGGAATGAAAGCCTTGAATTTAATGAAGTTCTTAGTGAGATACTCTAATTGGTGAATGTTCCAAACAGTTTGAATGCTAAACCTTTTTATATTTTAGTGTGGGTTTCTCTGCTGAAAATCTTGCTAATGTGTTATTTATTTCCGTAATAGCTAATGTGATCCTATGAATCACATTTGACATATATGCGCATTGTATATGTGAATAACTAGGAAGGGGCACCTCACAGGATGCGGCAGGCGCAGCTGAAGAGAGGGAGCCGCTCGTGTGGAAGGTGGAGCTGAAGGAGTTACCCAGAATGTAGCTCAGGGGGATAAGCAGTTGGCAAGAAGACAGGAGAGGAGGCACGGAAGCTAGATTCTAGCTGGAATTCTAGGCGGTGACACCAGCCTGGAGAATAGCGACTTGCTGGGAAGTGCCTCCCCTGCTGTGGGCCTCAGGCCCTTCACTTTAGAAATGACAAGTTGGGCCTAGAAGGTTCTAAGGGTCTGTCCTATTCAGGCATGAACGGATTTCTTTTCCTGTTTGAGCATTAAATGCAGTTTGCTGCTTTCCAGATTTGGACAATACTGGTATTGAGTCTTATTTTACCCAATTTAAAATTATACCTAAGCATATTATCCAAATATTTTTAAAAATGATTACGAAATAAGTAATACTCAAAGTAAATTCACTTATATTGGCATTGTTATGTTGAACCGAGTGATTTTAAATCCTGGTTATGACACAGTGCTTCTTGATTGTGCTGTTATTCCATTGTGTTTTCTCCTGATCACTGGGGAGCTTTTCAGTATGAAAACTAGAACAAGAAATCATGTTTGAGGTCTTTGGCAGAAAGGCATTTAATTATTTTACCTAAGTCTTTGTCTCTGCCCCGTTGTTGTGACTATCTGAAGCTACACCATCAATTGCATAATTTTCCCCTCTCAAATACTGTTGGAACAACTTCACATTTCAATCTAAGTATTTCATAAATAAATTATATTTTTTTTGTCTGCATTCTTTTAGGTCAGAAGGTCAAAAAGTACAAGACTGTTACTTCTATCAAATTTTTATTGGAAAAAATGAGAAAGTTGGAGTTCCTACAATTCAACAGTTGTTAGAATGGTCTTTTATCCACAGTAACCTGAAATTTGCAGAGGTTAGTGACCATTGCTTGTATTTTATATGAAAGTTCTTAGGATTCCTAAGACTACTGGTAGATTTAATAACTGTTACTTGTAACCCACTGAGAATAGTTAGAAGCACAAACTGTTAACAAAACACCAGTTCAAAAAAAATGCGGTGTTTCAATTTTGTCCTTGTAGAAAATGCCTTTGAATTAAGATTGAACTTTTTGGATTTTTGTGCCAAAGAAAATATTAAACTAATTTGTAATTTGAAAACTTTTAAGTAGTTTAAAGCAAAGGAGAGTTATGTTAACATTTTAAAAAAATGTTAATTTTACCCAAGCATTTTATCTAAATATTCAAAAAAGAATGGTATAAGAGACAAATGAATTCACTTATATTGATACTGTTAATGAACAAATGATGCCAATTATTTTTCTTTTACTGTTTATTGTCTTCATGATCTGAGTAGTCATGCTTGTTGCTTATTTTTATTACATTCATTTTTGAAAGAATGTTCTCGTACAACCTTAAGAGCTACAGTGATTTGTTGGTCGAAATGGAAGGGTTAGTGTCCTTCAGGGATGACAGGTTCTTCGTGGTACGTGCGGAGACAGTTCTCCCAAAGCGTTTGTAAAATGCAACCCCAGAGTAGCATGTCGCTCTCGGTCGTCCCCCTGTTGTTTGAGACCCAGGGCCGTGGGCCTGCCTGAGCGCCGTGTCCGGGGCGTCAGGACGCGCGGCTGGAGGGCTCGGGCTCAGCGCGGCTCCTGCTCGACGGGCCGTCGATGCGAAGGTGGGGCCGCTGCTGGCCTTGAGCGCCTGCACGATTTCAGGGTCGGGGGGAAACGCTTTCTTCAGGGCCTTGATTCCAAAAATCCATCTTTTCTTTCTTTCTTTCTTTCTTTCTTTTTTTTTTTTTTCAGGCACCATCATGTCTGATTATTCAGATGCCTCGGTTTGGAAAAGACTTTAAACTTTTTAAAAAAATTTTTCCTTCCTTGGAATTAAATATAACAGATTTACTTGAAGACAGTAAGTATAAGAGTTTTTAGTTCTGTTTTTCAGAAATAGTCTGCTAGTCATTGCCATGAATTGTAATAGTAACAGGATACAAGTCTTGTAAAGGCAATTCAGCATCTGAAGAGCCTGGAAATACTAGTCATTTCAGTTTTAGGAGTTTATTCCGAGAAAATAATCGGACATGCCAGTAAATATTTTATATGCAAACATGTTTGTTGTTGCGTGATTAAGAAGTTAGAAACAATCTGTATGTTAACGAGAGGAGAGTTCTTAAGTGAGCTGTGGTGTATCCATCCGAAACCATAGCCACCGAAGTTCACATGTTTGAAGACCCGCGCGGTCATGGTGTGCTGTTGGGTGACAAGATGTGTCAACACTTTGTACAAGAGCAGCTGCGCACACCCATGGAGCTGTGTAAAAATGCAGATAGAAAGTGAGTGGAGAAAATCCCCAGCAGTATTGATAGTGGTTGTCTCTGGCTACCAGGAACTGTAGATGCCTTCAGTTCTCTTTATCCCGTCTTATATCTTTGAATGTTCGTCAATAGACATTTTATAATTGGGAAAGAACCCTAGAATATATGAATTAAAAAAAAGTGTCATTTGGTCAGGGAAAATGTCTTTAAACTCATCCTGACTCCAAGGAAATCCCATTCAAAGCTGACGGGGATGGGGATGGGGAGGGAGAGACTTTTTTGAACCTATAAACGTTATCCTTTTTAAAGCTTAGCTTTTGACTCTTTCTAATGAAAGAGCGCACTTTTTAACGGCCCCTAACCGCGCCCCGTCCCACGCAGCCCCGCGGCAGTGCCGGATCTGCGGAGGGCTGGCCGTGTACGAGTGCAGGGAATGCTACGAGGACGCCGACATCGCGGCAGGCAGCATCAAGCAGTTCTGCAAGACCTGCAACACGCAGGTGAGGGCTGCGCTCCGGCGCCCGCGGGACGTGCGCACGCATCTGAGAACGGACTGCAGGCTCTGGGTAGTTTTCAAACGCGTGATCAGCTTCTAAGAACTCATAATGAAGTGGCATTACTTATGCCTCTTCTGTTCATCGAAGAGACTCCAGAGAAGTACTGGGTTGCTGGGCACAGGGCTGGATTCAGGCCGAGGGCGCGGATCCGTTCACGAGAAGCATTGAGTTTGGTCATCCATGTCCCCTTTTAGGTCCACCTTCATCCCAAGAGGTTGAATCATCAGTATAACCCGGTGTCGCTTCCCAAAGACCTGCCCGACTGGGACTGGAGGCACGGCTGCATCCCCTGCCAGAAGATGGAGCTCTTCGCTGTTCTGTGCATAGAAACCAGCCACTACGTGGCCTTTGTGAAGTACGGCAAAGACGACTCCGCCTGGCTCTTCTTCGACAGCATGGCCGATCGGGACGGTAACGTGCACCCTGCCGTCCGCTCGCGGTCGCGGCCCGTCTGCGGTGGGGCAGTCCTGGTGGGGGCCGTCTGAGACGTTCCGCAGCGGGCGCGGGGAGCCTCTGCTGGGGACGGCCCGGAGCCGCGCAGCCCGTTCACAGCCCCGCGGCTAACGCAACGATGACCACGTGGTGATATTCCGACCTGCACGTGGTCTTCGTTAAAGAAAGGACCTTAAAATTCTTTTTTCAGGGTTGAGGGGTTTGCTTCCCAGCTTCATCGTCTTGACCCTTTAGGTTCCTCTCATTTTCAGTACTAGGCTGGTTGCCGCGTGCCATGTGCCCGTGAGCCAGACCTTCCGGCAGGTCCATTGAGTCATTCCACCCGGCTCCCTGTGAAATGGGAACGATCCCTGAGCTTCTGTTACTGAGGCGGAGGCTGAGGGGCCCCAGGACCCAGGGCTCGTTTGTAACCCGGTGACCTCGGTGCTGAAGTGCTTCGGGCTGAGCCCGCCGTGTTGTCCTCTGAGTGGCAAGGCTAAGCACAGGAGTGGATGTCTCCCTTGGGAGAAGGAGCCTGTTCTGCATGCTATGTGTTTCCTCCTGAAATGGGGGGTTCCACACCTCCCCGGCCTCTTTCTGGGGTGCCTGGTATTAACAAAGGCCTGGTTAGTGGCCGCGAAAGGCAGGGGGTGGTGGCGGGTTTCAGGAATGACGGCTGTCAGAGCGGCCTTGGCCTGTCCTTGGCAAGGCCAAGGCCTCCCGCGCCTCCACTCTCCGTTCCAACAAGCCCCAGGCCCCACCTCCGGGCGTGGCCCCCGCCAGCCAGGGACGCCCCCTGCAGCAGCCTCTGGACTGGACGCCCCAGCCTCCGGCGGGGGCTGACCCGCCTTTTCCAGCCCTGAGACACTCGTGGGCGCAGCGCAGCGCCTCTGCTCGCGTGCCCCTGCCCCAGCCAACGGCCCATTTCCCCGCAAGGCTTGGAAGCACAAGGGCTTGGGCTTTGGGAAGAGACCCCGGGCCCGCCGCCCCAGCAGGGCCCGCCGTGACCCCTGAACCCATCCCCCTCGCAGCTCCTTTCAGCCCAAGGGCGTGGGGACTGCACGGGTGCATTTTTAAACCTAAGGAGATGCGATCGTGCCTTTTCCAGAGCGCCCTGACCGGCCTCATAGTGGGGGACGGCCGTGGTGCTGGGGGTCGGCTGCGGGAACCGGGAGCGCTGGATGCCTCGTGCCTTTGTCTCTGTCACGCTGTTGCTCGCTGAGCACGGAGAGGAGCCTGGGAGGTGGCTTTGGGACCTCAGGCTGTGTGTCTTTTTGCCCGTTTTCTTCACTCTTGGCCCCAGGATCCTCTCAGGGGCCAGGCCGTGAGAAAGCTGCCGACACCCAAGGGAGGCTTTAACTTCCAAAAATCAGAAGTCAGGTCAGCCCTCCAGACCCCGGCCGTCGGCCCGCCTGAGCTGCAGAGCGTCGGGCGGCGGGCGGGCGGGCCACCGGGCGGGCAGCTGCTCACGCCCCGCTGAGCAGGGCTCTTCCTCTGCCCACAGGCGGCCAGAACGGCTTCAACATCCCCCAGGTGACCCCGTGCCCGGAAGTCCGGGAGTACCTGAAAATGTCCCCGGAAGACCTGCATTCCTTGGACTCGAGGAGGATCCAGGGCTGCGCAAGGAGGCTGCTCTGCGACGCGTACATGTGCATGTACCAGAGCCCCACCATGAGCCTGTACAAGTAGGGCCCTCCGGGCGGGGCCGGGACGCCCGCCGCCCGCTCGCCGCGCACTGGGCCGCGGCGGCTCTGCTCGCGCCCATTGCCGGCAATGGGCGTCTCGGTGGGGTGAGCCCTCAGAGGAGAATTCCTGTGTTTGAAACAGACTGCTTTTGTGTTACTGAAGTATTTAATAAGAAGCATTTTGCACTCTGGAAAGTATGTTTGTGTTGGTTTTTTAAGAAGTCTAAATGAAGTTATTAATAACAGAAGCTTTAAGTTAAGTGCATTGATCATATGATATTTTTGGAAGCATAAAATTTTAATTGTGACAGTTTCAACCTCTTTCAGTCCATTGGGAATGTAAATAAATGTGTCTTCTTTATGGACCAAGGATATGAAATCATTTTTCCTTTGTAGCTAATGGCTGCCTTGAGGAAGAAATATTTTGGTTTTATTAAGAGACTACCTTCAACCCAGTTATTAAAGTTGCATTAAGTTTGATTTATTAATTTTTTCCTCTATAGCGCCGACTCCTGCATGTCTACAATTTATGGAGTTTCTGCAGTAATGATCAGACAAGTACTTAAATTCCCTAATGGTGTTGTTTTCTATTTGTTCTACCATTGAGATAAATGAGTGATTTTGTCATAAACTGTCCATTTTTGATGTAATTTTCATGGGGGAGATTAGCGTATACAGCCCTTGACGCTCTTCATTCATAGTAACTGTCAGCCTACAGTTTTTTGGGGTTTTTTGAGACTCTCTAACTATTTTATGGAATGGGGCACAGTAAATCTTATGAAAGCCTTAGAGTGATAAATGTCATGCTGCACAAACATATGATCCATAGAAAATAAATTTGACATAGAGAATGGCTCACGAAGCCTCCCTGAAGAGGTGAATTCGATGGCTAAGACCGTCCAGAACTCAGGTTTGATCAGTTAGTCAGCTCCCTCACTTTGACTTCACTAAAAATAAAGACAGTGACAAATCAGATGTTTCCGTTGATTGGTAGCAGCAGCTTTATCCTCCTCCTGATTAAATGAGCAGAAAATGAATGTTTTCTTAGCTGACACCATAGTGCGTCTAGACCACGTGGACGTTGTAGACTAGCCGCGTGGGTCGTGAACGGCAGCGTGCTGTTGTGGTTGCGGTCCTTCTGGAATGACCTCCTAACCGTGCAGACAGAAAAGTGGTCATAGATGTACAGCATATGACTTCAAAAAACGATGTCCAAAATTCATGGGGAGAATCTTTCTTAACAAACCTGCAATTTTTTTTTTAAGGGCATTTTTACCCATTGGTTTCTCATTCCATTTGCTAATACCTATTAGCTTTATCAACTGTAGTAAGGTAGGAAAATTTCTTCATCTTGTGATTTTTTTTTTTTCATTTTTGAAATGAAAGTGTGTAACTTCTGTGTAAGGTTTTGCTAAATGCTTGGGTGGGGTGTTGAGCTGGGTACTGGCGGGTGCGGAGCCCCGAGCAGCGGGGCTGGCCCGGCCCCCACCGCCCGCGGGCGCAGGAGGCCGTGGGGCGCATGGTGGCTGAGGCCTCTTCCCGCCCTGACCCCTTCAAGCCCAGTGGCCCCTCAGGACGCACGTGGGGGACGAACGAATGGATGAAGGGGTGTGTCACGTGATCCTCAGAGGTCGTCTGGAAGAATGGTTAGGAATCTATAGGTAAGATTGGATTTAAAGGCTAAAAAGAAAAAAGAAGGGAAGGCAGTTTTCTTTCTGTAAAAATCCAAACAAAATGCAAGCAGAGGAAGAGCTGTCCTGCCAGCCGCCTGTGCCAAGGACTTGGACACGTGTGTGAGGACGCGGTCCCTCCCGCACGGCGTGCAGGCTCTCATGGGTCAGAGCCCCTCGCAGTGGTTTCTAAGGACTTTTTCTTGAGGTGGAGTGTCCTGTCCTCCCACATTCCTGGGCGGGCGGTGTGGCGCCCTCCGTGGAGACGCAGGCTAGCGGCCGGGGGTCCTTCCCGTCGGAGCGCGCCAGCGGCCGCCCCCTCCCGCCTCCGGCAGAGCCCGGCATCCGGTGGGCGCCAGCCGGGCCGCGCTGTGGGGCACTGGTGGCCCACGTGCCTGCTGATTTATTTAATTTTTAGCCTTCAATTTGCTTACACATTTTCCTGTTGGTTTTTATAATGTTTGGGGGATCTCTTTTTCCATATTGTATCTGCAAACAGCATGACAATATAGTAGACTTAACTTATGTATATCATGGCTTCTGACTCATAGCTACACTTAGAAATAGAGCAAGTCATCTTCCCCCAGCTCCGAATAAGAGAGTGTGTGTGAATTGACAGGCAGGAGAGAGGAATGCCACCTCATAGCGGCTAAATGTGTTCGGTCCCTGGCTCTCAGCTTTATAGAGGAGTTTGACTCCTCCCGCAAAGCAGTGTTTTCTAAGACACATGGGAAACCGAGAACCAGTGACAAAACTCAAGAAGATATCGTTGTTACAATTGCCCAAAATTATCTCCTCAGGACGGGTTAGGGCTTTTGGAATTCGTACTTGAGAAATGTTAGAGGTAAATGGCTTCTTTCTGTCCTCGGGTGCATGTATTTTTTTCACCTAATTCCCACAATTCAGGAACAAGGGGAAGACCCAGTAATTAATGTCCCGGAACCTGTGTTGTCATTAACTTCCGGTTGACCAGGTGGACCTGGGATGTCCGGCCAGTGCGTCCGGCGCCGGCCCGGGCGGTGGTCGACGGCGACGTGGGCGGGAGAGCCAGCGTCGGGCCCTGGCTGCGAGGCTGCCGGCACGGCCTGTGTTGGACACTGGCTCCCCAGGGCTTCCTACCTCGAGGCGCGGCCCCACCCTCACACGGCCTGCCGCCCACTTCCTGCGCGATGTCCCGGCGGTTGCTTAGCTTAAGTGGGAGAGAACTGGGTCTGGGGACCCTGCAGGGGGCCGGGTGGTGTGACGGGAGGTGCTGGCCTGGGGACAGGAGACCCGGCTCAGGCCCTTTCTTTCTCTGTGTCTTCCTCTGTATAACAAGGTGGCTGGCCGAGCGGACTTTATAGCAAAAAACAAAAACAAAACAAATTTCTGGGATCCAGGCCAGACCTGCTGGGTCTGGCTCTGCGCAAATAGGGCCTAGGACATTTGATGGTGAAAAGCTCTACCCAGTGATGCTGAGGATGAACCCGATTTAGCAAACAACACTGAACTGAAAGATCTCAAAAAAAAATGTCTTTTAAAAAATGTGATTGTGTGATCTTATAATGTTATTGTGTTACATAAACGGGGGTAGTTGGATGTTTATTGTGCTGTGTGTCCATGTCTGCGTGTGAACTGTCTAAGGCGTGTGTACGCGTACTCGGCCACGTCTCCCGGCGGCGGCCTCAGCGGTCTTCGGAACCCGCCTGCCTCCGAGGACATGGGATGTTATTTTTCTTTCCTGTTTATTTCTTCAGGGGAAACTGAGGCTCTGGGAACTAAAGAAATGGAAAAACAAAATTGTCATGCCAAGTTAAACAAAAACCTTAGATTATTTCTTACCCTCTGCAACTTTATGGTGAACATTTTAACATTATATAGGACATTTCCTCTCTGGGGTAATAGGTCCTCTGATCATAAAGTAAAATGTCCTTGTTAAAGCAGGTGCACCCTGCAGCGTGTCCTCGCAAACGAGACCACCTCCCCTCGGGCTGGGGACTCAGCCACACGGGCAGCTCGCCTTCTCTGCAGGCGGCAGGTGGTGTAGCGGGGGGGCTGCGTGCCAGGATGGGAACCTCTGTGGGGGCACGAGAGGATGGGAGCCGGGGTAAGCCCTTACCACAGGTGTGATGGGGGGCCCGTGGGGTCTCCGTGAGCCCTGAGATTGTCACCGGTCAGACACCGGAGTCTGGAGAGCAAGGCCTCCTTCAGGGACGGAGTGCACGTGCTTCTGTCTCTTCTCCTTTCAGAAGTTTTATTGGAGGAAAAAGAGAGGGAAAAATGACTCGAGTCAGAGAGCAGTGACAAAAGCCAGCCTGCACGTGCGGCCCAGGAGGGAGGAGAGCGGGGGAGGGGCGCTGCCCTGGCCCTGACCCCGGACACGCAGAAGTGGGAGCAGGTCGCTGGGAACCTGTCTGGGCGGAGGGGCCGTGCTGATTTGGCCACATTTTTAAGTCTGTTATTGCATAACAGGTCGCAGGTCAGGGGGACCGTTTGGGGAGGGGGACTGTCCTGTCCCCACCGCTTCAGGTGTAATTCTGTGGCACTTTTTAAACACAGCCCACATTTGCTTTTTATTTTCTCTAGCAGAAAATGGGGTCGGAGACTCAACCGTCCTTGGCTTTACCTTCTAGAATGGCCTATATAGCACTGTGGAATTTCAGCTGTGGAAGGTCTTAGTGCCTTTAACAATGGCTTTTTAAAAACAGGAATCCCACTTGCAGCTTTGCTGGGATGTCATGGTTATTAGTAAACTGGTCTAAAGCACTTTTTGTACAGTGTTTCCCAGATCTGGTCTCCTGCTCAGCATTTCCCCCTCCTCCCCGAAGAACATCCTGTATCTATGAAGACCTAAAAAAAAAAAAAACACCACATAAAATAGCCCTTTACTATCAGATTGCTCTGATTTCGCCTTAATTTTGTTAAATTCTTATGAGATGAATGAAAAGCTGCTGTGGAAAGAAATGTACTACCTACTATTTCTGTATCATTAAAATTAATTTTTTTGGTTCCTTTTCCTTGATTTCTTGGGGGAAGGGTTTGGGGTCATGGGCCAGCCGGGGCAGCTGGGGCCGGGAGAGACCGGCATACCCGCGTGGGCGCCTCTGCCGCCCTTGTGGTCGGTCACTGCAGAAAGTCAAATGGGCAGCTCCGTTCCGGGAGGAGCGACCTGGCCGATCTGAGCTCCGGTCCCAGACAGCGCCCGGTTCCGCAGCCTCTGAAGCTCGCCCGCCAGAAGTGGCTCCTGCTTTGCTTCATTGCAGCCGCTCGTCCACGGGCACAGAGCTACTTACTGCAAAAATGTGTCCCGGTCCCTAATGGCTATACTTTTTTTGGTGTATAATCCAGAGGAATGAGTCCATGCCGCGAGGCGGGCTACTGATGGAACCACGCTTCCCTGGAGGGGACCCGGAGGGTGTCACTTAGCATGCAGAGGTAGGAAAGCTAGAACGGTCCGAGTTGGGAATACCGGTTTGAATAGACCATTTAGGAACATTTCCGTTTCCCATTGCGGAATGAAGATGTTGGTGATTGAGAAGCTCTGCAGGTTAACCCCTCTGCTTTGGTCAGACGCAAGGGCTGCAAGCTTTCTCATAGACCCCGTTCTGCCTGACTCCCGGCGGGAGGCAGGGGGTGTTGTGACCGTGACCGTGACTGTTCAAGTCCTTGTGGACGTGGACAATAAGGTGACAACAGCCTTGGCTCCCTCCTCTTCCCTGAGTGGCTGAGGCACGTCGTCCCTAAGACGAGCAATGACACGCCACCCGGGACAGCGGTTCTCAGTCCCGGCTGCACGCTGGACTCGGGTCTGGACACTTTAAAGACACTCATCCCTGTGTGCCAACCCCCCCCCCCCCAAGCGCTGCTGGAACCCTCAGCCCAGCCCAGGCTCCTGGTGTTTGTCAGGGCTCCTGACGCTGGTCCAGTGCACAGCCGGGGGCAGGAGCTGCCTGGCAGGAGCAGCGGGGCCTGGGGCACAGGCCCAATCTCGTCCTTCCCTGTGGAACGGCAGAGGGCTGTGGACTTGGACCAGCTGGGAAGGGAAAGTAGAAAACCCACCCTGAAGCTCCGGGCCCGGACTCTTGAGAAAGAGCCTTGGAAACGTGCGCACGTCGGATGGACGTGCTCTGGACACGGGAGCCGGGACTTGGAAGCAGAAGGAAGGTCACTAGTTCAGGGGGGACTTGAGTAAAGGCCGCCTCAGAGGGGCATGGTGAGGGGGCTGCTCTCCGCTGAGGGGCTGTTCCCTGCTGAGGGGCTGCTCCCCGCTGAGGGGCTGTTCCAGAGAGTGAATAAACGGAGAGGACGTGAAAGGGACAGCCGCCAGGCTGGGGGGGCGAGAGCGCAGAGGCTCCTGGGCGCGACCCTGGGTTTGGGTGCAGCCGCCCCACGGCAGGGCCCCCCACCCCGTTTTCGGGGCTGACTTTTAGTGGAGGGGCGAGTATTTGCTGCTGTCTAATTAAAGTCATTCGGTGAGCCAAAATAGAGCCACTCGTCGCAGAGCACAGGCGGAATGACAAGCCGCATCTGCTGCGTTGCCCGTACTGCCTTTCCAAATCTCTCCCATCCACGCGTCAACTTATCGCCGTACAAGTAACTCTAGGGTGTGATAAACAGCGCCTTCCCCACAGTGCGGGGCTGCGCTCGGGTTTGAAGGGCGGGGCGCGGTGCCCTCCTGAGGCCCCGTTCCCCCTCCCTCCCCATTGCGAGATGGTCAATGTGCCCTCTGAGGTCTTACCCGGAGGGTTCCGTTGGCGGCAGGCGGGGCTCGCTGGCCTGTGGAATAACCGAGGCCAGGCCCCGGGCCGTGGTGCGTGG